CGGCGCTGCTGCTGCACGGTGCGACGCGACGCTGCAGCCTGGCGGAGGCATGGCGGAGGCGTCACACTGCGTTGGGAAACATTTTAGGAGGGCGCCCCGTTTAGCAGGCCCTTGGTAAGCCCTTGGCAACCCTTTCCCCTCCCTCCCTCGGGCCTCGCCGACGCCGTGCCGCAGTGCCAAACCCTTCGACCCTTTGGCAGGCCTTTGGCAGGCCCCGTTCTGGGCCCAGCCCCCGCCTTGGCAAACCCCCAGCGACCCGCGCCGAACCGCTCGGCCCTTCGGCTCGCTTCGGGCGTCACGTGACGGAAGCGCCATGGAGGCACGCAGCACGCTTGGCACCCGCCCGGCGTGCACGTGCCGCGCACGTGGCTCGCAGTGTAGCGGCGCGCCGCGTGCCGCGTTACGTCGCGTTGCGCAAACTTTGACCGCAGCACCGCGGCGAGCAGGCGAGCAGCGCGGCCGTGATCAGCTCCAGTTCCCTCGAGGACGCGTCTCGGACACGTCTCGGACACGTCTCGGACACGTCTCGGACACGTCTCGGACACGTCTCGGACACGTCTCGGACGCGTCGCTGCGACCCCTGCCGGCTTTCGTCGCTCTGTCTCTCTCATGTTGGGTGACCCGGAAGGGGTGCGAGGGAGGCAGAACGTCGACGTCGCGCGGCCGGCAAGCTATGCTCCGCGTGCACCTTGCGCGGCCCTCGCGCGGCCCTCGCGGGGCCCTCGCGGGGCCCTCGCGGCGGATGGCATGGGGCACCACGGCCCCCGCTCGATGAGGGCCAGTCCGCGTCGTCCACTTCCCCCTCCCCCTTCCCTCATCGGATATCGAAGTGGGATCCGTTCGACGTAATCTCTAGGATGCACCCTCGGCGGCGGCCCCACGGCGGTGGCCCCGCGGTGGCGTCCCCAAGGCAGCGGATGCCGCGCACACACACCAACGCACGCACACCAACACACCCACACCAACACACCCACACAGCGAGCAGGGCTCTTGCGGACGTCATCGTGGCGTGCACCCCTTCCCTCCCTGGTGCCCCGCCCCGCCCCGCCCCGCCGCACCCCGCCCCACCCCACCCAGATAGCGGTCGGCGCCCCCGGCCCGTGACCCACTTACAAGGCGGCGACAACAGGCACCAACCCCGTACCGCCATGGCCCGCCATCGCGGTACACAAACAGCACCTCGGTTCGGTTCCGCCGTCCACGTCGTCGTCGAAGCGGAACTCGAAAACGCCTAATTTCCCCCAAAACGGCAGGAATTTTGTTTTGGGCCCGACGGACGCGCGCAGCACGCACTGCCAGTGGCGCGGCCCGAAATAGCGCCGCATTGCGTTGCCGCTTTGCCGCTTTGCCGCTGGAATGCGGGCGGCAGGAGCTCCATCATGGCGGATTGGAATGGAATTCGGCGACGGAAATAAGCTGATCCACTCGTAATTCCGTATTCGGGGTGGTCCGGTGGGGCGGGGCGGGTCCAATGTTCCCCGAAGTCCCTTGCCCTCCACGTGGCGTGCATTACGTGCACGACACCGGCCCGCTCCCTGCTCGCCCTGCTCGTGCTGCTGGAGACGGCTGGGGGCCGCGGGAGGGCCGGCAGGGAACCGGTTGGGCTCGCAGGGGCTGTTCCGGGGTGGGGGCCTGCCTAACCCCCTCGGGGGGGATGTACTCCTTCACTCTGACTGGCCATACTGCGAGTGGGAGTCGTAGCCGTTGGTGGTTCTTCTCCGCCAGGATAAAGTGTCACCTTAGTAAGGACGGCCATGTCTCGTTTTGCAGTGCAGGCGGGCAGTGTCGGGCCCGAAATGGCATACGATCTTGTGTGGTCTAGCCCTTAATGGTAATGGTAATGGCGGGCGGGCCGGCCCGTCGAACAGCGGCGCACGCGGGTGGCCTACCCCGTCATTGCACGGCGCTAGGCGAGGCCGGCCGGCCGGAGCGGCAGGCACGCCAGGCTAGGCAGAAGGGAGGGGGCACGGCTGGCGAGGCTGACGTCACGGCACGCCTCCATGATGCGCGAGGCCGTCCTCGTCCTGCCGCTGCAGCAGACTCATTCCGAGAGTCATTTTCGTCGCTCTGTCTCTCTCGCGCCCATGGGGAACGCCCCATGAGTGCGAGAGAGACAGAGCGACGCGGCGACTAGGGCTAGTGTGACGGAGAGGTACTCGGCATCGATGTACTCGGTGTTGAGCAGGCACTCGCTGTGGGAAGAAGTTCGCACTTGCTGTCGGAGGCACTGGGCACTCGCTGTCGAAGGTACTTGTTTTCGAGGCACTCGAGGTGCGCGAGTGTGTTACGCACGTATGGGATGCTAAAACACCCGCGACAGAGCCCGCGACGGAAGGGGCAGGGGTGGAGAGGAGGACTGGTTGGTTATAGGAACTGGTAGATCCGGAGGGGAGGGGCGAAGCAGGGTGGGGGGACTGCGAGAGAGTGAGAGAGATAGAGAAAGAGCGAGAGCGCTGTTGTATAAGGCACAAGTCAACGAACCGGCGACCCAGTTTCGCACGCTGCCGCCGCGGTGGAGGGGGGCGGGCAGGCGCTGTGGTGGGCACCAGCTGTGAGGATGGGTGGGGGAGGGGAGGGGAGGGAGGGGAGGGGAGGGGAGGGAGGGGAGGGGAGGGGAGGGGGAGCGGAGCAGGAAGGGCGGGCAGGGGAAGGACTACGACAAGCCCTAGTGGGCCACCACCACAACTGCCTGGCTGGGCAGTCGGTGATCTTTGTGACCTAGGCCTTACGACGCTCCACTGTACGACTGACTGTGCAACGTCGCCGGCAAAAACGACAACACGACTTTTGTGCTTGTGCGCGCGTGTGTGCGCTTGTGTTGGTGTGTGCGTGCGTGAGTGTGTGTGCGCGCGCGCGGCTCGGAAAGCCTGCCGGTTGCCACATCCCACCGCCGCACAACAACACACATCGCCGCACCGCCACAGCGCCACAGGGGCAAGGTCCCCCGCGGGTGAGCCAGGCCCAGGCACCCTAGGGCTGCCGCTGCACCGTGACCCCAGGACTCTGCGGCGGGCGTTGGGCTGGATACGGCCGCCCGATACTGGCTCGAACGCGAACGCTAGGCCACAGTGGGCGGAGGCGGTCGAAATTCCAGACGCGTTTTGAGCTCCAGAGTCGCTAAACAGGACTCGAACCGCGCGAGAACGAGCTTCGCTGCGCGAATTGCGAATGTTGTTGAACCCACGCCGATCCGCGGCGAATCGGTGCGCGGTTCGCTGGCCACGGTCTCCACGGTCTCCACGGTCTCCAGCAGGCAGGGCGGCCCTTGGCGAGGCCCTTGGCGAGGCCCTTGGCGCGGCCCCACGGCCAGACGCTAGCCACCGCCACCAGCCACCGGCAGCCGCTAGCCGCCGGGCCGCCAGGCCGCCGTCGGGTTGCGAAAGAGGCGGAATCACAGACGAAAGTGAGAATGTGAGATGGAGCCGCCGGGAGGGCGCGGCGGGGCGGGGCGGGGCGGGGCGGGGCGGGGCGGAGTGGGGCCGTGGTACAGTCAGTGCTGAGGCTGGCTGGGAGCGCGTCATCATGGGCGCCCCTGAAAGACCCAACCGAGTCCAAGATGCACTTCAGAACGGCGCAGCAATTTTCTTCGCTGAGGACGCCACACCCAGTTCACCCGGTATGAGAAATTTACGGGCCAGTGCGGTGGCACTGTTACTAGTGGCGTAGCTGCGTAGCCCAATCCGCGTGCTGGCCGCGCGTTCGCTGCGTGACTTCCTCGGGGGCCTAGTGCAGCCGGTGGCTCGGCCGGTGGCCCTCCCCTCCTCGTGGCTCGGCGGCGGTCCCCCGCGCCGCGACCTACTTCTCTCCAGGTGGGCCCCGCCTCGCCCCGCCCCGGCCCGCCCCGGCCCGCGGGCCCCCGGTGGGGTCAGCGACCGTCAGAAAGGGAAATGACGCCCCACCGCGCCCCGCCGCGGCCCCGCGCCAAGCCGCCACGCCGCGCCACTTCGCGCTTAGCGAAGCGAGACTAGCCGATGAGTCGAGCCAGCCCAGCTGCCGAGCTCGGCCGAGTCACACGGCCGGGCCTGGCAGGGCCGAGCCGAGCCGAGCAACGGGTCCGCGGTCCTCGCGGAGCGGCGTGGCGTGTGCGCCAGGCTAGAGCTGCAGCACCATCCTTCGGGCCCTGCGAGCGCGTGACGGTCACGGGTTCAAATCCCGGTGCGCGGCCGTTTCGAATGAACGATTGGCGCGGCCGTAAGGCTTCCGACGGGGCTAGCCGTTGCCGTTGGCGAGATGGTTGGGGTTCGCCTCCCGGCCGCGCTGTGGACGCGCGCGAAAGCGAGAGGAACTCGCGGAGGAAGGAACGCCACGCCCAGGCATCCCAGGCAGCACGCCAGCGCGCCGTGACGTCACGCCAGCCGCGAGCGTTCAACCCGAAGCCCGGGACGGCGTGCTGGCCGTGCTGGCCGTGCTGGGTGTGGTGCACAAGGCGGGCCCGCGGTTTGCCCCGTGCAGTCCCATACCGAAGAGTAGTACAGAGCGCTGTACCAAAGTTCGGCCAAATAGCGTGTGGTGGTGTCCCCTTCCATTGGCATTGGAAACATGGCGCATTCGTCCGTGCTCTGTCGCTCCGCCGCGCAGCCGAAGGCACTTTCTTGCCGAGGATAGGCCGGGAAGCGAGTGCGTGCGCGTAGGGCGGCGGGCGGTAGGTCGGTAGGCAGTAGGTCAAGTCTGGATCGAGTCGCATCGGGACACGTGTGGGCCAAGCCAGGCCAAGCAGCACACGTGCACTGGCTGGCCCGCCGGCCCGGCCTAGGCCCGGCCGGCCGCTCTCCCTGCCGAGGAATCAAAATGGAGTCACAGACGCCAGGTCGGCTAGGTCCTGGTCGGTCGTCACCGCGTCTCTGCGTCACTCTGACAGGAGGATGAAACAAGACAAGTGTGTAGTTCAGACTCGGAAAGTGTCATTCGCCGTTATTCTCCGCGCCTCGAGAAAAAGATGTCATCGCCCATAAGTGCGGGACTAACGGACTAACGTCACCGTTTTGTTTGTTTTGTTGCAGGAAGCATGACCCTCACCAGCGCGCCCTGTGAGGTGGACACAATGAGCTTGTTCCAGGACCTCAAGCTCAAGAGACGGAAGGTCGACTCCCGTTGCAGCAGCGATGGTCAGTACTGCTACAGTGTACACACTTGGTTTCCTATTTGAAAGCGGCAGCCACCTGGCCGCGCTGGCCGCCCGCAGGTTGTCTGGTAGAGTGACAGCGACTGGCCGCCTCCGACTCGGAACCGAGACTCGTCCTGTCCCGAAATAGGTACGCCGGGCGTAATCGAGCTTATTACTTATCCGTTTGAACGCGCCGAGCGGGCCGAGCGGGCCGAGCGGGCCGGCGCCTGTTGGAACGCACTTTCACCGCCAGCCTGGAGTTCGAACAAAGCCTTCTGCGTAAACAACAACAACAAGGCCGCGGCCCACTACCTTGCAGCTTGCTGCTGTTGTTGTTTTCGAGGCGCGATGCAAAACAACAACAGCAGAAGGACGCGCGCGGCCGGCGGTGCGGTGTTGCAAGGACCGGTCTAGAATAGCAGACGAAAATAGGGCCGCGCGGGCAGCCGTCTTTTCCACGCCGAACGCGATCGAGAAGCATCGAAGCCCTTCTGTCCTGTTTGAACCGAATGGGTGGTGCCGTGTCCGTGTTGCACCATTTGCACTGTCCAGTTTACAGAGTACCGGGCCCTTTTTTCTGGAGCCCTTCTGGGGCAGCCCGACGTCTGACCTAGGCCATACCAGGCCTACCTGCAAGGGAATGGAAAGGGCCCGTTGCCCGTCCCGTCGTCCTCGACGTCCTTGGCGTCCTCGACCTTGGGCTTGGGTGCGCCGTGCGCCCGGAGGACCGGAGGACTCGGAGGCTGTGGGGATAGGGGGCCCGCCGGCGCGCCGCGTGCGTGCCGCGTCCTCGGACAGGCTGCAGGGCGGCTCCGCGCGTCGCTTTCGCCGCTGTCTCTGTCGCACTCTCGAGGCGTGGCGTAGGGGTGCGAGAGAGACAGAGCGGCGAGGGCACTTGGTGGAGGCGAGCGCGGCCGCGCCTCTCCGAGCAGTGCGGGGCAGTGCCGGACAGGACAACGAGGATTACACTTACGCTGGAAGCGGACTGGCCGGGCTGCCATGCCGGCCGGGATTTTGGTGCGCGCGCGTTTTGGTCCTTGTTCCGCACCGACATCGAGAACGCCGTGGGGCTGTTGACCCGGGGGATGCGCGGTCGGCCGGGGCGGCCGGGGCGGTGGCAGGTGGCCGGCCCATCGGTCCATTGTGCGCGGCGGGGCCGGCGGGGCGTCGCGATGAAATATCACACGCGAGTGTGCAGAGGCACGGGCAGCGGCGGCGTCCCGGCGGAGAGCGTGCGGTGCGGAGGAGAGCGGAGCGCGGCCGGCGCCTCGGTCAAGTGTAGGGTCAGCGCGGCGGCGGCGGGGGCGTCCGCGGTCCGTGGTCCACGAGCCAGCCGCGAAGACGCCGCCCCGCGACGCCCCGCGGCAGTCCACTGCAATCCGCGGCGCGTCTGCCTCGCGGCCCTGGACGGCGCAGTGGTGCGGCCAAGATCCGCGCCGTGATTTTCCGGTCCGCGGTCCGCGAGTCCGGAAGTCGCGCGGCGGGTACAGGCTGCAGCAAAAACTAGCCGGCCGGTGCGCGGTGCGCTGGGCGCTGCGGCGGGTACAGGCCACAGCAAAACTAGCGGGTGGTGGGCGCTGCAGCAAACTAGCCGGCGGCCGGCCGCGGTGTTCCGGGTGGTCTCGGAGTCATCGACGGGGCCGACGGGGCCGTCAGGCCGTGAGGCCGCCAGACCCAGAAGGCGACAGAAATTGGCGGTCCTATCTCGCAAGGCGCGGCGTCCAGCCCCGCAGCCCGCAGCGCAGCGGCCGTGGCGAACGCAGCCGTACCGAGGGGGTACTGACCGTCTCGGCCCGCGGGGGAGAGGGTGGGGGGAGGGGAGGGGGGCACTACACGCTGTAACTCAAAATTAAAAATAGGGGGCGGCTTGGCAAGGAAGTGGGAGCGACGCCACGGGCTCGCTTGTCTGCCCTATGATGGGGTGGTAATGTTTTTTATTACGGCGTTTTTCTGGCGAAAGGGGTGTTGCTGTGTGTGCGTGCGTGCGTGCGTGTGGACGACCTGCCGCCCGCGCCGCGCTGCCCCGCTGCCCCCGCCGCCCCTGCCGCCCCTACCCCCGATTCCTCAAACTGCAGTCCCCGCCCGACCCAGCCTGCCTGCAGGGGTGACTGACCGAGTACTTCGCGGGCAAAAAAAAAGCACAAAAAGAAGGAAGACGAAATAATAAAAACGGAGCGGACATTCGAGACGGGGAGGAAGAAATGCCTGACTTCGCCAGCTTGTCGACACTCCATTATGACCGCCAACAACTGTCTGTCTGTCTGCCTGGCTGGCTGCCGCAAGTTTGTTTTGAATCAAAACTTGTTCTTGTTGTCGAGCGTTTGGAGTGTAATGTTCCCCAACAGCGGTGCGCGAAACTATCTCCAAAGGGCAGAGGGCCGCCTGAAAAATACACAGCCGCCACGTCCACTCAACACGCCGGAGCTGGCCGTGGCGCCCGAGAAACTGGAGCGGTAGCACCCACACTGCCGTCCTGTCGCCCTGCCCGCCGTCCGGAAGAGACGAAACAAAAACAGATATGTGTGATGCGGCCAGCCAGTCAGCCAGCCTGTTGCCCGTCGTGCGCTTTCCAAGTTATTCACCCCAGAAAAAAAATTTAGTAAGAAGGGAAGAAGACTCCTCGCGTAGTCAATCAAGGGACATTACAGTGTCCTGGCAAGGATCCACGCCGCCGCACAATGTGCTCGCTGACCCCTGCCACGCCCCGCCACGCCCCGCCACGCCACGCCAGCCGCGGCTTGGCTTTCTCCGCGACATCGCGACACCCGAATTGAGGGGCGAGATGGATTTCCCCCCAAAGTGTTTGTGTAACCGAACCGATCGCATCCCGATGTGCTGCTGCTCGTCTCGCTCGTCTCGCTCGTCGCCGTAACGACCGTCCGTTTACGACCCAGATCCTTTGTGCCAATGGGGGTCGCCGTCGACAACGACCCCGCGACTCCCGCGACGACACAACGACGCAGCGTTAGCAGCAACAAAATAAAGCGCAAAAAAAAACAACTAAACTGAGGTACTTATTCATCGACTGGAGGTGGACGACCTTTAGGCGACCCGTCACGTCACGTCCGGGGTTTTGCTCTCATTTATGTATATTTTTTTTGTCGCCTTCCCTCGCGTTTGAGGAGTTAGCACGCGATGGGCCGGCGTCGCGGCATCGCGGCATCTCACTTCCAAGACTGCGGATTATGGACCGTGAAGGGACAAGCCACAGAATGCATACACACGTACGTCTGGTCCGATGGTCAGCAAAGTGCTGCTTTCTATGCAGTGTAGTAGAGGACGAAAATCTAGTCGAAAATGTCGAAAGAACCATCTGTTAGTCGAACTTTCAGTTACACCAACGTGAGAGCTGCTGGCTGGGACGCTCGCGAAAATGGTAAAATTTGCGGACTGGGCGTGTCTGTGTTTGTGCATGTGAGTGTGTGGTCCCCCACGCTTCGACACGCCGCACGCTGGCCGTGACCCCCCTCTCCCTCCCCCTCCCACCATTGACTGGCGTGCGGGTTAGGTCGCGTCCCGTTACCTCGGTGCACTGACCACCTCCCCCCCCTTCCTGCCCTTCTAAATTACGCGCCAAAACAAAAGCCGGCCGAGTCGTGGTGTCGTCGCCCCCGCCATGCCACTGCCATGCCGTCCTGTGCTTGGCCCTGCTTGGCCCTCCGTGCTCTCCTTTCTCCCGTTGCCCGGCGTTGCCCTGATCCGCTTCTTCAAAGGACAGCAGAAGAAAAGAAGCATCATAAACGCGCTGCTCGTCACTGCCGAAACCACCTGTGCTGCGGGAGCGAGAGAGAAAGACTCTCTTCTGTCCATGTCCAACTTCTCTCCCTCCCCCCCTCCCCCTCCCTTTTCTGGTGTCGTGTCGCACACTAATCAAGCTTGAAGTTCAATGTCTCCATCGTCTGACTCACGCCAGCAGTGATCCGCGTTTATTTATTTTTCGGGAGCGGCGGGCGCTCGGGTCGGCTCCAAAACAGTCTGGCCCGTTCCTGCCCGTTCCCTATTTTTGATTCGCGTTCGTTTACCCGTAAACAGCGCGCGCGGTTTTATGACTACGGGACGGGCCCCGGCAGCCCCAGCTATACACCTCGGCGGGTGGGGCGGTGGTGTGAAAGGTGCCAACCGAAGCTCGCCGCACAGTGGGCCAGAAGACCGCTGGAGGCGGCCAAAACTCTAGACGCGTTTTGAGCTCCAGAGTCGGTAAGTGAGACTCGAACCGAACGCGTGACCTCACCAATGGTTTGCTCACCGAACACACCGAATCTATTGGTGGGGTCACACGTTCGGCTCGAGAGCTCAAAACGCGTCTAGAATACTGGCCGCCTCCACCACACTGAAAAACCAAACGTGGTCTAGACCGCATCATTGGTGTGGTCAAATGGATGCCATTTTGACCGCATCAGTTGGTGTGGTCTAGACCACGTTTGGCCACGTTTGGTGTGGTCTAGACCACGTTTGGCCACGTTTGGTGTGGTCTAGACCACGTTTGGCCACGTTTGGTGTGGTCTAGACCACACCAAACGCCCCAAACGTGGTCTAGACCACACCAACTGATGCGGTCAAAATGGCATCCATTTGACCACACCAGTTGGTGCGGTCTAGACCACGTTTGGTTTTTCAGTGCAGTCTCCTGGTGGATTGGCTGCAAGGGCCGAAGGGATGGCCCAATGCCTTTGGCAGAAGTGCGTCTCTTGGTCCTCGTCTCCTCGTCCGTCACTCCGTCGTCGTGTCGCTACCAGTGTGGCTACCCCCGCACCCCCGCAGAAACCCCGTATACTCGGAATGCCTCGGATGCCCTTGCCCTTCCCATTACCGGCTATTGTGCCCCCTTCCACCCCCCTCCCCCCTCCACCCGCCTGGCCGCACCTCGCCCGGCCACTCCCCGCGTGGTGATCTTGGGGATGGCCCTGGCTTAGGAGCCCTCCACCGCTAAGCCGCTGTCTCTGTCTCTGTCGCACTCGCGGCGGCTGCTATGTCTTTCCGAGGCCCCCGCCGACCGCCGTTGCCTGACGCGGCCAAAATAGGATGTGCAAGGTGGGCGCGCGTGGCGCTGCCGACCGCAGGACGTGACAGAAGCGGCCGATTGAATCCTGCTTCAACAGGCAACGGCTGGCTTCATACCACTGCAAGGTACGAGCAACGCACCGCGGCGTCGCCATGCGGGCCGAGATTTCTCTGCTCGCCGTCTGCGGCACGTGTCCGACGGGGATGGAGGCAGAGCGCAGTACGCGGCCCCCGAGCAGGGGCCCCCGGAAACGGCCTGAATGCATATGGGTGCATAGTTGGTGCGCGCTGCTGGCTGGCCGACCACGACCACGTGAAATTGACGGCATTCGCTCGAACCTATCCCCCACCCGACAGAAGCACGTCGGCCTTATACGCCACGCGAAGCACGACGAAGGCGAAGCCAGGCGAAGCGCGAGCCACTGCGGTGCCGAATTTCTCTGCTAATAATCGCCTTGCTTGTCTCGGCGGCCGATCGCCGTACGTCCGACGGGGAAATAATGAGAAGGGGAGCGGCGGGCGCGGCGCGGCAGGGGCCGGAACCGGCCTGATTCATCCTGAATCAGGACGCCGGCGACGGCGGTCACAAGCGACGGGCCGCGGAGTGGCGGCGGTCCTCGCGCCTCGGCCCTCACGCTGGGAGGCGCAGAGCCAGACGCCGGGCCGGCGGGCGAAAAGAAATTGGAAGCGGTGAGCGGCCGTGCCACCGCCGAGGGCATCCGCCCTCCCCATGGCCGTCGGCCGTCGGGCGAAAGGGGAAAAGGGGAGGCGAAACGAAAGGGCAGCCGCCGCGACGCGCAGTTCCTTTGTTGTTGCTTATTTCTCTGTAATGAGAGCGCCTTGTCTGTCGGCTGGCTGCTGATAGTGAGGTCGGCCTGGCGGCGTGGCAGGGGTCCTCGGGCAGCGGCGGCAGCGGCAGCGCGACCAGGAAGCGCGGCCGCCTGATAAAGACAGGAATAGTAGGCCTTTCCACCTGTCCGAATTGGGTCAGCATGCAAAGGCCGCGATCGCCGCTCGGACCGGCGAGGCGAGGCGAGGCGAGGCGAGAGGCGAGAGCCCCGCGGGGTCGTTGGTCGTTGCTACCCGGCCGCGCCGCCGCGGCGTCCATGACCACCGTGCCGGCTAAGAGGCTGAGTCTGCGAGGGCTGCGGGCCGGACAGCCCTCCTCCTTTGCCGTCTTTCTTTTCGTTTTGGGTCCAGTGAGTAATGGCCATTTTTTCCAATTCATCTCTTTAATGAGAAAATTAATTAAACCCTGCTAAGGCGATTGTCAAATTGGCTGTCGGCCTGTCGGCCCCGTCGGCCGGGCATCCCCTTTCCCTGAGCACCGCGAGCGCACCGGCGGGGGGAGGGGGAGGGTGGGGGCGGGCGCGGCGCGCTGGGGCCGCGGCGGTGGGGGGAGCGCCGAGGGAGAGAGAGAGAGAGCGGCGCGCAGTCCGGCTCGGGGAGCGGCGCGAGGCGGTCGAGCGAGGTGCGATACGGCGCGAGCGACGCGGCGCGGCGCGCAGACACGCGGCCACCGCGGCCAACCGGTGCAGTGTGTAGTGCGCGTACATAGTGCGTCGAGTAGTGTCCAGTGCAGTGGCGTCCAGTGTGGCGGCGAGTGCCGTGACAAGTGCAGCAGTGTTTGATGGATACCTGAAGCGGCGTTGCGAGGACGCCCGACGCCGCTTCCACGACATGTTCGCCGTGCAGGTGCACTCCCTGCCGGCCCTGGCGCCCACCTACCCCCGCCGTCCGCGGCCCACCGTGGCGGTCAGGGGCGCCCTGGTGCCCCGCGTGCCCCCTGGCGGGCTCAGCGGTGAGTCGAGCGAGTCCAGTCTCTGGAAGGGTGCCGGCAGTAGCGGTGCAGTAGCCAGCAGTGGCGTAGTTGTTGTCGACTACCTGCCCGAGGGGTGCCGGCTGCGGCAGTGTTGTCGCTGGCTGGGGGAGGGGAGGGGGAGGGGGGGGGGGTGGAAGGGGTCAGCGGCCGTGCCAGTGCTGGATGGGCTGGATGCACCGTTCATTGGGTTGCTCCAAGGTTATCATCTGGCCGGCACGCGGTACCGGGTACCGGTGCGGCTCACTCGGCCTGCCTTACACTTCGAGGTGTCACCCTCTGCAGGTCTCGCTGCTGCTCCAGCGGTTTGCTACTCTTGTTGTTGATGTTCTTTTTTTGGGGAGGAGGTGACGCGTGAGGAGGCCTGGCCAAACGGCGGGCCAAACGACGGGCCGGCCACAGACAGAAAGTCCCTTTCACCTCTCTGCCGACCCCTCCCCCTCCCCTTCCCCCACTCCCCCTCGTGCATACATCCGCCCAGACGCTCCAGCCGCGCCTCCCACCAAGTTGCACACCCGAAAACGGAAGGGAAGGGAAGAGAAGGGCCGAGGGCCCAGAGGTGTGTCTTCGTCTCGGTGCGAGGGAGAGAGATATGGAGCGACACGGGTCGCTGGTTTCTCTACCCCCTCCTTTTTCCCTCTGAGCCGGCCGCCGGCCATGCCCCGTGACTTTGTTGCGAACCCAAGAGCAAGCGACTGACATTGACTGGACACGAGGAAGTCCCACTGTTATTGAACGCTCCCCCCCTCCCCCTCCCCACCCCCGCGCCCTCCTCGATCGGCGTCGTCGGCGACACTTTGGGTGGCGCAACACGTGTACTCGAGCACGCAGGGCCTACGCCGTGCCCACCACCAGGGCCACCAGGCCCGCCGCCAGGCCCGCCGTGCCCACCAGGTCATGCCATGACGCGTCGCGCGCTGGCTGATACGTACTCGCCGATAACTGGCGTTGCCGGCACTGACAACGACACACTTGTCAGCAATGAGGAAGCGGCCCGGCCGCGCCGAATATTATCTGCGCCGTTCTGATCGAGTCATCGACTCGGGGCTCGCGGCGGAAGAGTTCGGCCAGGACGCCGGCCGGGACTCGGCGACCCGAGGGGCGTCGGCGTCGTCGGCGCCCTCCAGTCAGTCGCCGAAACCGGCGCGGCGTGGCCTGGCCGTCGCTCTTTTCCTAGCAGTGCAGGCGCGCGGGCCGGTTCGCTCGCTGGCTCGGGAGACAATGCTTATCGGTCAACGCCCACGCGTTTTGGAAACGAAACCGACGAGGCCGGGCCGCGCCGCGCTGCGCCCATGGCTGGCCGGGCCTTGCCTTTGCCAGGAGAAAGTCGCGTGGTTTGGCGTTGGCCACTTCGGCCCGGCTCGGCCCGGCCCGGCTCGGCACGGCGCGGCAGGGAAGGGTCCACGACCATCGGGTTCGTTGTGCCCCGTGCCTGCCCGTGCCCCCGACGGCCCTGTCCGCTTTTTCCATTCCATAAACCCTAAATGCTGAGACGCTGAGGCGCATTGACGCACTGGTAGAGGCTTGACTTGACGCTTTCTCTCTCCGCCCCGCCCCGCGGCTCGCCCGCCAATCCGCAATCCGCAATGCCCGAGGTACCGGATCGCGTGCGTGTGCATAGTAAGCAGCAAGCAGCCTGACCTGGGCGTGGCGCCGCGCGGCGCCTGTCTGTCCGCCTGTTTGCCCGTCTGTCCGTCGGCCCAGCGACAGACTTTCTTCCCAGGACACCGCCGACGATTCACATGGCCGTGCGAAGAGAGGCCCGCGTTTCCCCGCTATCCGCGCCCTCGCCTTATTCGGCCTCGACGGCCACCCTCGCCTGAAACGGGCCATCCGGGATCTGAATAAGGAGCAAGATGTGACGCAGCGACCGCCCCGCAGCACCGGTAGCCATGGCGGCGGCCCTCACGCTCTTGGACTCCTCTGACGAGCGCGTCTTCTTTTGTTGCAGGGGAGAGCGTCCCGGACACCAGCACGTCGTCCCCCGACATGGCGGGGTCGCCGTCACCGGGGCCGCCGGCGGCGGCGCTGCCACCCTTGCCGCCAAGCCCCCCACCCCCCAGGTGAGAACCACTGAGGAGACAACGGACACGTCACGACGCCGCGACTAGGCGGCCACCTCGGCCACCCAGTGGCGGTGACTCCCGGCTCCCGTTTTTGGAAGTGGACGCGGGACGCGGCGGCGACGCGGCGGGTAACGGGACGCGACGCGGGTGTGAGCGGCATGGCCTGCATGGCCTGCATGGCCCTGTCCGAGTAACGGGGGAAATTGGGGCCTCTGGATGTGTCTGTCGGATGTACCGCACTGTACAGCACGGGACGGGAGGCCCCGGACAAAGCGTCGGCCGGGCAGAGCCGGCCAGAGCGACGACCGCGACGCGTGGACGCGGCGGGGCGGGGCGGGCGGGGCGGGCGGGACGCGTGTGCCTGCCTCTGGCCTGCCTTGGCGCGGCCGCGGCGGAGGAGAGGAAGGCCGGCTTCGCTGGCTTCGCTTTCGATTTCAGTCCGAACCGGAGAGGAAGCGCCAAGCGCCTGCACATTCCAGGGCAGAGTAGCGCCGACCAGTACCCGCCTTGCCTGTGCCCTGTGCCTCTTACTTTCCAACTGACGTCATCGCGGCGCGCGGCTCGCAGCGCCAAAGCGCGTGCCGGCTGCCGGTCGGCTTTGGGTTCGAATACCGACACCCTCGCGGCGTTTTTGCCGCTGCCCGCGGTTTTTATTCCCTCGTCGCCCGGACAGGGACGCCCGGGCTGGGCGTGCTCCAATTGCGGCCGGGCGTGTCGTCACTTCGTCACTGCGTCGGCGCGGCGGCAGGGCACGGCGTCACGCTCGACCGGGGCGAGGCATGGCAGGCGGGGCGCGTGCGGCCCACAGCGCTGCGTACGTACGAACTACGAACGGGTTCAGCGGCCAGGCCTCGGGGCTCGACCGACACTGATTTGGCGCAGCACGGCCACCGCGTTAAGTGTGTACTGTCACACTGTAGCGAGCCCTCGCGCCCTCGCGGTGTCAGCGGGAAAAAACGTACACGTCGTCGACACCGCGGAGCCCGGCCAGCCCGGCACGCCCACGACGATGTGGCTTCGCAGCGCACTGTGCCGCCGCCCGGCCGCCCGTCAAAATAGAGCGGCGTCGCGGGGCGTTGAACCCGCGCCTGTCGCTCACACGCCTGATTCTAGATTCTCTATTCCCTGCAGGTCCCCCGCTGAGCCACTGGCGGACTCGGACCGAGCGCGGTCCCCGGGTCTGCCCGGTCACGGCGCCCAAGCTAGGCTCTCGGGCCACTCGGGCCGGCCGGACGCCGCCGACACCAGCGTGTTCGACGGCGGCGGCGGCAAGGAGGCCGCCAACCACCACCCTCACACCCACGCCGCCCCAGTGCACCCCACCAGCACTGTCATCAGCGTCGTCGTCGGCGGCCAGCAGATGACGCAGCGGCAGTCGGTGAGTGCTGAAGGGGCGGAAAAAAGAGTCAACTAATCAGCAGACTGATTCGTCACTCTGTCTCTCTCGCACCTATACGGGATGCTCTATGAGTGGGAGAGAGACAGAGCGACGTAAACGACTCTCGGAATCAGTCGGCTGGTTCTACTTTTCGAGTGCGACTGGGGCACTTTGGCGGTGGGCAGCGCGCAGCGGGCTATCGGCAGATAACGCAGGGCCTTCTTGTTCTGCAGGAGGAGCACGAGGAGCAGCGGCGGCAGGAGCAGGAGCAGAGGTTACGGCAGCAGGAGCAGCAGGAGAGAATACGACAGGAGGTGGAGCAGCAGCAGAGGATACAGCAGGAGCACCGGCTGCGGCAACACGAGGAGCACCAGCGGATACGGCAGCAGGCCGAGCAGGCCGACGTGCAGCACCGCCAGCAACAACAGCAGCAGCAACAGCAGCAGCAGCAACAACAACAGCAGCAACAACAGCAACAGCAGCAACTATTGCACCGGCAGGGCCAGCACCGGACAACACCCACCCCCATCCCCGTGTCCGTGGTCACGTCGACCAAGAACCCCTCACCGCCGTCCTTTTGGGCGGGACCGCCGATCCGAGTCAAGTCGGAGCTGGTAAACAACAACAACAGCGCCACGGCGCCCAATAATAACAATAACAACAACAACCTGCTGGCGCCGCTGCACGAGGCGACGTCGGCGCCCACCGCCTTCTCGCCGCGCATCAACGGCGTGCGGCCGGAGCTGATCGGCGGCGGCGTGGCGCCCGCGCCGCCCCCGCACAGCCCCCAGCCGTCGCAGTCCCCGCAGCAGCCGCGGCCCGCCCCCACCGTCATCATGGGCGAGGCCGGCGGCGTGCGGACCATGGTGTGGTCGCAGCCCACGCCGTCGCAGGCCTCGGCGTCCTGGAGCTCGTCGTCGCCGCAGTCGACGCAGTCCTCGTCCTCCAACTCGCAGCACGACGAGAGCGCGGCGCAGCTGCTGCTCAGTCTGGGCAACAGCGTGCCGCTGCCCTCGCAGCAGCCCGAACAACTCCACCAGGTAAGCGCCCCTTGGCACCCCCTCGCGCCCCGCGCCGTGCTTGATGCCTTGCTGACGCTGTCCTCGCTGCCTCCCTCCGCAGGTCGGCTCCACGCCGCACCACTTCCCCGCGCCCCTCAACATGGAGCGGCTGTGGGCGGGCGACCTGTCCCAGCTGCCCGCCGCGCAGCAGCTCCACGCGCTCAACCTGTCCGCGGCCGGCCAGCCGCCCTGGGCCGCGCGGAACGGCAGCGCGGCGGGCCACGGCCCCGGCCTCGGACACGGCCCCGAGGCAGGCCACGGCAAGGCGGCCGGCCTCGCCCTGCAGCCCGACGAGGACGACCAGCCCATGATCTGCATGATCTGCGAGGACAAGGCCACCGGACTGCACTACGGCATCATTACCTGTGAAGGGTGAGTCCTCAGGCCTCACGCCGCCAACTGGGACTTCCCCGGGGGAGAGCTTCCCCAGCCCACAGTGGATCTGTTCCCTGTTTGGTCAAGCTGGCCCCTTATCGTGGGTCAGGCGAACGAGATATCGATCCGGTCAGCGGGAGCCGAACCACTCGAAATCATGAATCTGCTCTGCTCTTGCTGTGAAAAGGTTTCAGTCATGTCTTGTGGTGGTATCTCATCATATATATCACTGCATAACGTACCATACACCTTTATGACTAATCTGCATATAAGGTGAATTTGAACCCCTGTCTTCTTAAACCTATCGACTTTTGCAAGTTCACTGGCCCTCTGCCCCGCATGTGAGTCATGCTCACAGCAGTGGCGAGAGCTCTTGTAAATAACACTAACCCTCGAAGAATCAGCCAGCATTTGTTTACCTCTGAATTTGATAAAACTTAAGCAAATTATTTACAACCCCAGATCTACTTTGATAACGAAAATAAGTTTGAATTTGAATTAATATATTTGACTAATAAACAAATTAACGTACTGCAACTTTTCAAAAACTGAATTATGTTGACAAGTGAAAAGAGAAAATAAAGGCAAGAAAACTTGCTGTCCGGCTGGTTCCTTCCTGCTAACCCTTCGGCGACGCCTTGGCGACGCCCCTGCCCTCCATGGCCCCACGGTTGCCTAACGAGAGATGTCTGGTGTGCAGCTGCAAGGGCTTCTTCAAGCGCACGGTCCAGAACCGTCGCGTGTACACCTGCGTCGCCGACGGCACCTGTGAGATCACCAAAGCGCAACGGAACCGATGCCAGTACTGCCGCTTCAAGAAGTGCATAGAGCAGGGCATGGTGCTGCAAGGTTCGTACTTCGCGCCCCTGTCCTTCAGCGCTGTTGTTTTTACTTTTCTTCTGTGCGCTCTGTGCTGTTGGGTGGAGGTCTTTTCTTTTCATGCGGCCATTTCCTCAAAATCTTCCCCTTTTTTTCGCCACGCTTTCAGCATTATCGCAAGCATCTTTCGATCGCTCTCGAACTGTAACTCCGAACTGACGTCCAAAATAGGAACGTCAACGGCCGGTGGCCGTCGGTGACGAATGCGGCGCGGCTGTCGTCGCCGCGCTTTGGCGGCCGATGAACTTGAAATTAATCTAATCACGGATGCTCGGTGCTCCTCGTCGTCGCTCCGTGCCAAAACTCGCCGCCGCGTCACCGCGTCGCGCCGCGTCGCGTCGGGCCGGTCGGCCTTTCGCCAAGTCGGGAAGCGGGGCGGAGAGGCGCTTATCTCGCCGGCGCCAAATCCCATCCCAACCCGGAAGAGCGGCCGTGACTCGCTCCGCGCCTCCCGACCGCTGTCGGCTGTCACGCTGCCGCCGCCGCCGCCGCCGCTGTCACTGGGCGCGGCCACGCCATGGCGACGCCGCGACCACCGCGTCGCGCCCAATCTCATTACGTGTTGCCGCTAGCCGTGCGCTCGTCTCGTCAGTAAAAAAAATTTTTTTAAAAAATGGTCATGCTTGCGGTTTATCTACGTCCCACTTTCTTTCTCATCCGCTTAAAAAAAAACAACATTTTTTGCAAGTGCTTTATTTGGGCTTGTGGTTGACTTTTCTTCCTCTGCATTCTCTGCTTTTTTTTCAATCTGTTTTCGATCAGTGCCAAACGCACGCGTGTGCCCTGTGCCGGCTGTCGCCGCGCCGGCTGGGTTGTCCGCCGAGCGGGTAGGCAGCCCATCCGACGCGGCGCGCTCCAGCCTTTTTGCCGCTGCGAGGATCCTTATCGGACTTTGATGGCATTGTTGGCCCGACTGCTTATCTTTGATACTGCACACCCTCAAATTGGGCGGGACTTTGAACCGGGCGGGTTTGCGGGTTGGCACTATGCGCCCAGTCCCGCGCCCAGCCCACTCCTCTACCGGGTTATTGACTTGTTGCTGCCCACAGCTGTCCGCGAAGACCGAATGCCTGGCGGGAGAAATTCGGGGGCGGTCTACAACCTGTATAAGGTGAGTTTTTTTTTACCGCGGCCGGCAACCTCGCCAAGCAGGGGGCGCTCTTTTCCTAACGGGTGTGTGTGCGTGTCTCTCCGCAGGTCAAGTACAAAAAACACAAGAAGAACCCGCGAAGCAACGGCCAGGTGAAACCCGAGAAGCCGCCGACCCCTACACCCGGTGCCGTGCAACAGCAGCAGCAGCAGCAACAGCTGCACCAGTTGCAGCAGCACCACCTGCAGCAGCAACAACAGCAACAGCAGCAGCAGCAACAGCAGCAGGCCCTGGGACAGACCAAAGGCCTGGCGCTGCTCAGTCAAGAACACGGACTTTCTCCTCACCTAGTAAACGGGACCATTCTCAAGACGGCGCTAACCAACCCCAGCGAGGTGAGTGGGATTCAAGGCAAAGGTGTTGGCGGAAGTGGCGGCTTTGGGGACGCGCTGGCGGACGCGCTGCACTGTATCGTTTCGGAAGCGCCAAGCTGCGCCAAGTTGCGGCCTTTGTACTTGGCGTGCGTGTGGCGTGGGCGTGTGTGTGGAGCTTCATCACTTGGCGATAACTTGCCCGACCCGAGGCCGCCACGTCCGCGTAGAGCTCGCGGGGCTCGTCGGGCACTGAGTGAGTCGTTTTCTGTGTGGAGGCCCGCGGCGGACGCGCGGGGAGTACGGGGAGCAGCCCTGCCGAGGGCGTCCCCGAGCAGTCCGAGCAGTCCGCCGGCCAAGCCCAGGCCAAGGGCCAGGCAGGCAACGCCGCGGGCAACGCCACTGGCTTGGCCGCCACTGGCTACCACCCCTCCAGGGCCTCCAGCCCGCTGCCGCCGCGCCACGCTGGCGGACCGCTCGGGCTGGAGCACTTTCAGCGCAACTTCGAGGTAAGCTTCGTGTCTCGAAAGCCGAAGCTCGAAGCTCTTCGCCGAAGCTCACCTCGCAGTGCTCGCAGTGTTGTTGCTATGCACACGGCACGGCCGGGCACGGCGCACGCCCCGCACGCAGGCCAGCGACCAGGCCGAAGGGTTCGACACGCTACACAGGCGTCCTTGAGTACCTTCTTACTTTATCTCTCTGTGTTTTGCGGCCGTTTCGGCTTCGGCCCCTAGGCCTCTCGGCCCGGCGGCAGACTCGCGGAATGCGCCTTGGCTGGCTTTACGTGTCGCACGGAGTCGCTGGCGTCTGGCGCTGGTCGCGGGCTGAGGTTCAAATACCGGCCGCTTGCTCTTCGTTTTGCTGCCCCGCCATCCCCGCCCCGCTTGCCGCTGATGGCGCCCTTCCTCCTGCTGAGCGGGGTGCTCGGAGGACGCCAGGACGCGCACGGCGCACGCTCGTCAAGCTTTTTCCAACACCCCAGCCATGTCCCAGGCCACCCAGCTTGCCGCTATCTTTGTCCTCTTGTCGCTTCTTCCTCTGAGCTCCTCCGCTGGGAAATGTGTAACGGCCCGGCGGTCCGGCATCGTGCATCGCCTGCGTTGTCCCTGGAGCCTCCAGACGTCGACGCCCGAAGCCCGGCCGGAGTGGCTGGAGGTAACGGGCCTAGCTTGAGCGGCTTGAGCTCGGCGCGGCGCTCTGCCGGCCAGGCGGTGCCCGTGCGGTGCCAGGCGGCCAGGGAAAGTGGCCCTCTACTTTCACTGCCAGGGCCGTCTGTTGACCTGCCGCCGCCCCCGCCCCGCCCCGCCCCCCGCGACGGAGAGCGGCAGAGCGGCCGTAGCGTGCCGCGGCGCGGTGCGTCACCTGGGAGGGGCCGGAGGGGCACGGCGCGGTGCGGTGCGGCAGGAGCAGAAGTCAGGAAGTCCACGTCAGGTGCGAGCGCAACCCTAGCAGGCCCACGGCAGGCCCGGCCTGTCCAGCCGTGGCTTTCTCGACACTCGAGAGTTGAGGAGAGGGGGTCCATGGCGTGGCCAGGGCATGGCCGTGGTGCCGTCGTCCGTGCACGTCCGTGCGTGGAGCGCCGAGAGGGCCAGACAGGCTAGTCGACGGGCGCAGGCCATCCGACGGGCTCACGGCAACGACGTTCCTGTCCTTCCTGTCGCTATCGCGGGGTGGTTAGTTTTGGGCCAATGGCGGGGGTTCACGTCAGGCGCGTGTTAAAAAGTGTGGCGATGAGGACGACTAACCGCGGAGAGTACGTAGGCGATACCAGGCAAGTCGCCTCACAAGCGTCTGCAGGAACGACGGACAGTACAACTTTGATTGAATCGCCCCCTCCTTCTGGCGCGCTAAATGACGGCGTTGCAGCGCGAACCCCCCCTTCTTCGCTCCGCGCGTGGAAGGGCGTTGACGGGCTGCTGCCTGTCAGCGCTCCACCGTTCCGCGCTGGACCGAGCCTGGACCGCCCCTGGACCGCCCCTGGACCGCCGCGGCTAGCCAGAGCAATGACCGCCGCGCCCCGCCAGCGCTGTCCTTCCTTCCTTCCTTCCGCGCCGCTTTTCCCGACGACCCTTACGTAAGGTGCGAACGCGAACCCCAGGCAGGCAGGGGCAGGCACGGGGTGGAGGCTGGTGGTCGTTAGAGCTGGCCGCTGCTCGGGCTGCTGTGCCTGGCTCGCCTGGCTGTGCCGCAGGAGAGGGGAGACGAGAGGCAAGGCGTCACCCATCTCAAGAGATACGAAATAGCGAGGGAACTGGTTTCGGTGCGCGGTGCGCCTCGGCGCCTCTCACCCGGGCCGCGCCCGCCCCGCGCCCCGCAACAGGTGCTGCAGGCCGCGTTCTTGGCACTCTCTCGCCGCGCTGATGAGTCAGGCGTCGCGGCGTCGCCCCTACCCGGGCAAAAGCGGAACCGAAATAATGAATGGAATAAGGTTCCGAACGCGGTCGCCATAGGGTTGCCACCTCCGCCGCGCGGCGGACCAGGGAAGTCCCCGCGCGCCGCCGTCGCCCCGACAGGACGACTGCCAGTGCACTGACAGAGCCACCCCTCCCTCCCCCGGCTTGGACGTTCAATGTCGCCAGCAGCGAGTTGGTGTCGTAGTTTTTGTTGGCATGACGATGTCGATGTTGTTGCTTGTCCGCTTTGCTTGCCCGCCCTGTTCTCCGCCTGAAGCGGCCTGACGCCCCATGCCCTCTGGTTGCCGGTTGCAGGTGGTGCACCTGCGGCAACGACTCGACAACACCGTGACGTCATCGCGGGACCGGACGCTGCCCATCGACGCCTCCATCACCATGATCCACGCCCTCATCGACTGCGACGAGTTCCAGGACATCGCCACGCTCAGAGTGAGTAGCGCGGCAGCGCGGCGGTTCAAAGTTCGAAACCCATCCACGCCCTCACGCGTTTTGGTCTTTGCTAAACACATGTTGTTTTCTCTTTTTGACAGAATCTAGACGAGGTGCTGGACCACAAGACGGACCTCTCCGACAAGCTAATGCATATCGGCGACTCGATCGTGTACAAGTTGGTGCAGTGGACCAAGCGCCTCCCATTCTACCTGGAGCTGCCCGTCGAGGTAGGAAAGGATATTGGGATATTGAATCAACCCATCCAAAATGGACATAGGAGAAGTCTCCCTCATGAGACCGTGACCCGGACCTCGTTTGACGGCATTCCCTCCCCGCAGGTGCACACGCGGCTGCTGACCCACAAGTGGCACGAGCTGCTGGTGCTGACGACGTCCGCCTACCAGGCCATCCACGGCGCGCACAAGATGGGCTCCACGTCGAGCGACGGCACGGAGGCGGACTTCACGCAGGAGGTGTCCAACAACCTGTGCACGCTGCAGACCTGCATCACCAGCATGATGGGCCGGCCCATCACCATGGACCAGCTGCGGCAGGACGTCGGGCCGCTGGTGGAGAAGATCACCCACCTCACGCTCATGTTCCGGCGGATCAAGCTGCGCGTCGAGGAGTACGTCTGCCTCAAAGTCATCATTATGCTCAACCCATGTAAGGCCCGGCTCCAGTTGTAGTTACAGGACAAGTCTCCAGACTTTTTTGTTTTTTTGAAAAAGTTTCAATTTTCGCTCTCTTTTCTTTTTTTTAGCGCGCGGGGGTGCGAGCGAGCTGGAAACTTTCCAGGAGCGCTACATGACCTGCCTGAAGACTTATGTGGACCATCAGTTCCCACAGCAGCCATGTAGATTCCATGACCTGCTTGTCCGCCTCCCTGAGGTAGGTTTCCCTGTAACTTCAAGCTTTTTCTTTTTTAAAGATTTATGGCTTTTAAGCATTCTCTTATGACCTTTACTTTTGTCTCTATTTCAGGTGCAATCTGCAGCGGCGGTGTTGCTTGAGAGCAAAATGTTTTATGTCCCGTTCCTCCTTAACTCTGCAATTCAACGGTAGTGCAAGGAGGCTGCGAAAACTTTTTTTTAATCTTGCTGTGATGTGATTGTAAAAAGAACCATTTTGTGGCTTATATTTTGTGAGCGTGTGAATGTGTGTGTTTGAGTAAACATGTGTGATTGAATGCGCGCGCGATTGTGAGTATGTGTGTGTGAAGGCGCTGTACTGGGTGGCCCCATCATCTCATTGTAAGTTATGTCATGTATCATCCACAGAAAGGGCCACCCAACATTGTACATATTTTACATAGTATAAATATAAATATATAAATATATATATATATATATATATATATAAAACAAGAATCAGATTTATCTTTATGAAAATCCATTGAATGGCAGATTGCAGATCGTGTTGTACAGGTATGTTTGCAAGTACTGAAAGTACAGTTATTATTATTATATTATTATTATTATAATTATTATAAATATAGTTAATTGAGATTGGTGCTAGCACACCAAGCCAGGGGACAGGAGCCGCTGCCAGTTAAAAGCTGGCGCCAACCTTCCCAAAATGTAGGTACTATGACCGACTGAAACATTGTAAAATATTTTAAATGTACTGTATGTTTGTTACCATCTGTACCAGCAGACCAAGCCCACATCACTCGTCCTCAGGGCTGGAAATAGTTACCAGTGTGTAATATACCAATATGTTCCTTTCTTTATTATGTTGTTGTTGAACAATTCCTGCCCCTACCTTTCAACAGCTTATTGCTGTATGGACCATAAACCACACACTCTTTCTTGTGTTCTGTTTTTATCTGCTCTGTCTGCCGGAACGTATGGTCACAGTATTTGACTGTTGTCTTATTTTTAGACAAGAACTGATCTAAATGAATGATCACAAATGTTCATGAAAACGTGTTCAACATAGTTTACAAAAATAGTTGTAATGTTTTTAACCTTGTACATCCCCACTGATTTGCATTTTGACCCCAAACCAAGGATTTTAGCTTCATTAGAGCATTGTTTTCTGTTTTTTTATGATGTGCACAAATTGGAACAAGAATGTTTAAACCACTTTGGTTTGAACCTGATCTCGTGTTGGTGCTGTTTTTCAGAAAAGTGATGAAATTTTAAAATTAGTTATACTTAATACTTTCTGTGATGTGTAAAGCAAATATGAAATCTTGTTTTTCTCTTTTTTATTACCGCAGACCTTTTTTATCAGTTTTTTCCACTTTCTTCGTTCAGAAATTAACTAGGTCATCAGAACTTTTCCCATACATCACAAAAATAGTTTTCAGAACTAAGATCATTAACATTTCTAAACCACTGTTCTGCTAAATGGCATCAACACAGCAAACAAAAGTTTTGGCTGTGTAATTTCATTAAAGGATTGTGAGTACAAAAATTTGACCTCTGATAACTGGCTAAATTATTGTAACATCTAATTAGTTCATGCATGTGGAAATAAGTTATGTTTGTTTCATTTTAATGTGTGTTTCTTTGTCAGTATTGTAAGAGACAAGTAGATGTTTCAGTTGCGCTGCTTCTCGCTATTCTGTACACGGGGACATTAAATGCATTCTCTCAACCACTCTTGAAATTTTCAATCTCTAAACACCAATCTAACCCACATGTAAAATGAAAAATAAAAAAAATTAATAAGATGTAATATCGCGTGTAATATACCAAGTCATTTTTACACCAAATGGAACGAGTCCAAGACCGTTGGAAAGAATCTAGAAGGAAATAGTGGTCATGAGAAATGTTAGAGAGAGAGCTAGCCCTCCCTATGCATAGAGCCGCGCCACCAAGGTAGGCCACCCGTTTGGCACTGGGGTGGGTAGGACGCGACGGTAGGAGGAACGAGGAGGGACGAGTGTTTGCTTCGCGTCCATTTAGCCAGGCTTGTCTCAGCCACGCCGTCAAAGTAGGCCGCCCATGTTCCACCCCCACGTACTGTGCATTCGCTCAAACCTGAGCCAGCGGCGACCAAAGGAAAAGTTAAACAGCCGAACCCCACCGGGGGCCTCATTGTCCGAGTGCTGTTCCGGTGCGTTATAAGGGTTCGACCCTTTGTTTCGCTCGTTGTTTGGAGGCTGTTTGCCACACTCATGATGGCACCAAGAAAAGGCCTGCATAGCAAAGGGTCGCCGCTGGCTCAGGTTTGAGCGAATGTACAGTACCACTGTGGGATCACCTTATCCCTTCTGGCGCAGCGCCCGGAAGGTAGACAACCGCTTTGACTCGTCGCAGGGAAGACCGGGGGGGGGCTCTGAGACGTCAAATGGGTGGCCAACCTTCACGGCGCCATCGTTCAGGGCGCAAAACACTTCTCCTTACGGCTCGACACAAGGCCCGTCCTTGAGCTGGTAGGGCCAGAGTCCTTAACTTTGTTGTAAGGAGATATGTGGAAAAGTGGCTTACATCTCGACAAGCATGAACACAACAACTGTAGGAAAGGAGGGAAATTCTACTTACAATGAAATTGCTACGTTTTTATTCACAACAATCTTTGTGACAAGCATCTACATCATTATCACACTTTTCACAAATGTAGTAGGAAATTTTTATTTAAAAAGGTAGCCGAGGGATAAAATTCTCGAAGGCTTCGTCCACTTCCCTCTCCTACAAATCACAACATTTCTAATGGATATGTTACGCCTTCTTTCCATTGATTGACTTCAGCTTATCACGAGCAACTCGATCAAAGAAGAGCAACCCTGAAAGTTTTTCTATGGTCTCAGGTTTCACCTGGAAATAATGTTTCAGTGTAAGAGTACAAGCACAAATTTATAATTGATTTATTAAAACAACAAAGAAATAGGTGCTTAAGGTTCTTACCATAAAATTAGTGAGTGGGGTATCATCGCTAATAACAGCGTTAGGCATAACATACGATTCCATGATAAAATTTCTATTCGAATCCTCAGCAACAACCACTTTAAAGAAATGGGTTGGGACTGATACCATGTTTTTTCCAATCACTTCATACTTGACATAAGATTTTCCATCAGATTCTTTCCTGAAAATATTTAAAGAAAATATATATATAAGAAGTATTTGAAGTATTTCATTGGAAGACTGGGCACTTACTGAGCAAGGTACATGGGGCCAGTGCAAACATAGACGTTTTGATAAGTTTTAGTCAGTTTTCGTACATGTCTCTCCAGTCGATTCCACGAGTCTCTATTAAAACCTCTTCCCACCTGTGGAGCCATGTTGGATAAGAGGAAGGTTTGTTCGCAATGTTTCTGGTGAGCTTTGTGATTTCCTGCAGCAGCAAGATGTCCCCTATCATATCCACTATATTTGTAATCTTCATTGGTTGACCTAAAAGAATCATCAGATTTTCTTAGTGGTTTGAAGCCCTTAGTTTTAGCAAAGTGAAGAATTTAACTGTTACCTGAAATATGGATGGATGGAAAGGTCTTCCTTAAAATCACACTTGCTACGGTCTACTGCCTCATTGTGTTTAACTCCATCTGGTGTTAGATGTTCAAATACCCAGTTTGCAACTTTGTTTCGTCTATCGTATGACAAGACATAGTCATCAAAGGAACGGATATTGTCTAAGCTGGGGAAGCCATGCTGCATAATCTGTGAACAGAAACGAGAAGAGTCTAGAACAAATGACTACAACTCTCAAAAGAGTCTGCAAATTTTTTGTTTTGTAACTTACTTGAGAAACTCTAGTAGCGACGTCGCTCCCTGTGTTTGTGTCGTACGGCGTAGCAGCCGACACGACTCCAAAGATGGGGAGAGCTGGACGGTTTTTAACAATGCGTCCATCTATCACAATGGAACCACTCGTTTGAGATTGCTTACTATGTATCACCTGATAGGCTGAGTTGGCAATCCATCCCGCCCCAAAAGTTAAAATTGTTTTAACTCCTAACCTAGTCGTCATGTTGTCTGGTCTCGCAAGCTCTAGCAGACGACGAGCAGGTGTTGCCAACTTGGCGACCAGCGCTGTTTGGCTGTGCCAACCGAACAAAACGAATTTGTACAAGCATTTGAAAGTGACGTGGTACATCCGAAATAAGGGTTGAGGCAACAAAATTAATCAACACTCATGACCACACTAAAATAAAGAGTTTAATAAATATAAGCACATAACACAATAGAGTAAAAGAAGAAAGTGCAAAAAATATCACAGGTGACGTTTTTTTTCTTTTTTTTTTTCAAATTTAAACGTTAACTTCCGGCGAACTAGGTTCGTAAGTGGTTCCTTGACTTTTCCAGGACGTCCTTCCTGATGCGCGGGTAGCTTGGGTGAGCGGCCAGCACCTGCTGGCACACGTCGATGGCGTCGGCGTACTGCTTGCACTTCATGTACTGGAAGGCGAGCTTGTAGCCGAGGGCCGGGTGGGAGCGCGCCGTGCCGCCCGCGTCGGACGCCCCCAGGCTCCAGGCGCGCTCGTAGTGCGTGGCCGCCTCTCGGTACGTCTGCTCCTTCTCGGCCATCACGCCCAGGCTCTCGTAGGCCTTGGTGCAGCCCTAGTCGGGGCAGGAGAGAAAATTAAAAATGAGGACGCCGCAGCAAAGCGAAGGCACGCCAACACCACCACGGCGTCGGCCAGGTTGGCCAGCAACGACACGCACCTGGTTGTGCTGCAGCACGCGGCGCAGCAGGTCCGCGGCCAGCTCCTGCTTGCCCTGCTGGATGTACAGCTCGGCCAGCAGCAGCCACGCCTTCTCCAGGTGGCTGGCCTGCTCCACGGTCCAGGGCGTGCGCGACACTCGCTTCAGCTGGTTGCGCGCGCGCTGCGTCTGCTTCTGCTGCAGCAGGGCCTGGGCCAGCCCCAGCACGGCGCCCACCGGCTCCCTGTGGTTCTCCGTCTCGCTGCTCACCACCGCCGTCAAGTCCTGCGTCGCATGCGTCGCAGGGTTCAGGTTCAGGTACCCGTAATACCGGTTTGCAACTTTTATTTTGCTCGGCGCGATGACTGACCTGCACTGCCTTCTCCACGCTCCGCTTGTCCCCCGCCGCGAGCAGCAGCTGGTTGGCCAGCAGGCGCTTGTTGAGCTCCTCCTCGGGCCCGCCCGCGGCGCCGCGCAGCTCGGCGAGGAGCCTCTCCGCGGTGGCGACGGCGGCCTGGCGGGCGTCGCGGTCCTCGGCCGCCATGGCGTCGTCGGCCTGCTGGCCCTGGCCCTGGCCGTCCAGGCAGATCTCGATCATGTTGTGCACCGCCTGCTGCCCCCACTCCGGGTCGCGCCGCGCCGCGTTAAACTGGTGCAGGGCCTGCGGGTGTCAAAGAGTACCTCTATTAATATCCTGGATCGTTCACCACAGAAAACTGGTCAGACATAGTTAACTACTCAATAGCATCAAAATAGAACTTCTCATAAGGAAGATCGAGAAAGACAAACAAACATCAACAAAGAAAAACAAAAATTCAAAAGGCAGATCCGAAAAATAAAATATAAGAGGAAGGCTGAGATGTTTCAGAAATCTGTTTTGTCACGTGAGGTGTGAAGCATGCGAGCGAAGTAACGTTCGTCTGTGTGTTGGTCAGCGAGAAAAAACCCATGGCGGGTCAAAGACAGGTCAATCCTCAATCCTCGGCATGGTGCTCCAGCCGGGCAGCCGTGCTCCAGCACGCAACGGGTTCCTGGGTGTGCGTCACGCGCATATTAAGCACCCGCCGCGATTTCTTGGCGCAGAAAACAAATCGCACAGCAAGCAACAAGCCGAGGAGAGGAGTGGCGAAGCGAGGCGCACTCTGGGCAAGGAATCGAGAAACACTCGAGCAGAGACCGGCCGGTACTGCGGTGCAGAGACCACCAGTGGTCCGGGAGTCAGTGTGCTAGAGCTGGAGCGCTGGAGCCGATGGCAGCGACCGCGAGACTCGTTGCCGCCGCCGCCGTGGTGGCCGCGCTGGCCGTCGTGACGCCGGGGACGTCGGCGGCGTGCGTCGCGGCCAAAGACGATGCCGCGCCCACGCCCACGGACGCGGAGCTGTGCGAGCTGTTCGGCGGCGCGTCCTGCCCGCGGACGTGGACGCAGAGGGGCGGCAGGGCGGTGAGGCAGGCCGAGGACCTCAACACGGACGAGATCTGCAAGATCTTCGGCGGGCCGTCGTGCCCCGCCGACGACGACAAGGTGTACGAACCGGTGAGTGCCGAGTGCGACCTCGTCGCGGTGCGTCGGGCCAGGAAGGCCAGGGAGTCTCAATGCCGTGCGAGTGTTGCAGTGTACGTGCCGCGGGGGCAGTGCCGGCAGTGCGGGGTGCCAGTGCGTGCCGTACTACATGTGCCCCGGCCGCCTCGACGACAAGGGCGACGAGGAAGACAGCCTCATCGACATCCGCCAGCAGACCCGAGACAACTCGACGTGCGACCACTACCTGCACGAGTGCTGCCTCCCCTCCGGCCCGCCGAGCGCCGAGACCGCCCCGAACCCAAGCCCATCCACGCAGGGGCCTCGAGACGCCTCCACGCCCGCGCCCCCGCAGCTCTGTGGGGTGCGCAACAGACTCGGCGTCGGCACCCGGATTTCGGGCGGATTGAACGACGAGACCAACTTCGGTGAAATCCCCTGGATGGTGGCCGTCTTCAGGAAGCGCGGCGACGGGGCCGAGTACCTGTGCGGCGGCGGCCTCATCGCCCCCAACGTGGTCCTCACCGCGGCCCACTGCGTCATAAACGAGTAAGGAGCACGCGGCGCACTCATCCCGAGGGTCGTTTCATCGCTCTGTCTCTCTCGCACTCGCGAACCGTTTCTTATGGGTGCACAAAGCGACGGAACGACTCCCGGAATCAGTCTGCAGGCCGGAGGCTGATGCAGACGCAGCGTTTACTCCGGCGTTAGGAAACCCTCGCGCCACTGCCGCCCGACGAGTCGAGCATAGGCAACCCTCGCGCCACTGCCGCCCGACAAGTCGAGCATAGGCAACCCTCGCGCCACTGCCGCCCGACGAGTCGGGCATAGGCAACCCACGCGCCACTGCCGCCCGACGAGTCGAGAACAGGCAATCCTTCTGGCTCGTTCACCAAATATTTTCGTTTGCAGCGTGTCGGGCTCCAGCCTGTTGGTCCGTGCGGGCGAGTGGGACTCCCGGACGGAGGCCGAGGTCTACAAGCACCAGGACCGCGACGTGGAGAACGTCATTATCCACCCCGACTACAAGCGCAAGACGCTGCACAACAACATGGGGCTGCTGGTGCTGAGGGAGCCCGTGAGGATCGGCTACCACATCGGCACCATCTGCCTGCCCGAACAGGACCAGAACTTTGACTTCAACACCTGCCTCGTTAGCGGCTGGGGCAAAGACAAGTTCGGTAAGCTGTCTCTACATCTGTATCACTGCTAGTCTCTGACCGGCAGAAACGCCGTGTTCAAACGCGCGCGCGCGTGTGTGTGTGTTTCCAGGCAAGGATGGCGTGTACCAGAACATCCTGCGCCTCATCGAGGACCTGCCCGTGGTGCCACACGCCGAGTGCCAGGACAAGCTGCGCCGGACCAGGCTGGGGGCCAAGTTCATCCTCCACAAGACCTTCATGTGCGCGGGCGGCATCCAGGGCCGGGACGCCTGCACGGTGAGCAGCGTGCTGACAACAGCGACGCCGTCCAACATAATTCAAGGCGATGCTTTCGACCGGAATCGAGCCCTCCATGTGTTGCAGGGCGACGGAGGCAGCCCGCTGGTGTGCCCGATGACACAAGACGACGACTCCCGCTACGTGTACGCCGGCATCGTGTCGTGGGGCATCGGCTGCGGCACGGCAGACGTGCCGGGCGTGTACGCCGACGTGGCCATGTTCAGGACGTGGATCGAGGAAGCGCTCGCGCCGTACAACATTCAGCTGTGCTCGTCGTGAAACTTCGCAGCAGAGACAATGAGGCCGTGCAACCCGTTGCGTCTAGACGCCAAACTTGCCTGAGACCCGCTGCCGGAGTACCACGAGTACAGCCCGCGGCAGTAGTTGAGGCCCGGCTCGCCGCGCTGGCTAGCGGCCTCGGCCGCGTCCAGGAAGGGCAGGCAGGAGGCGAGCTGGCCTCGGCGCCGGGACACCTCCACCAGCCTGGCCAGCGCGGTCCAGTAGGCCGGGCGCCGCTGCAGCAGCGCGGAGAAGTGCTGCCAGGCGCCCTCCAGGTCCACGCGGCGGAACGCCAAGTCCGCCATCATGACGGTGGCCGCGTCGTGCTCCGGGGCGGCGAGCAGCAGCGTCTGGCACGTCGCCTGGCACTGCTCTAGGTCGCCCACCTTCGACAAGGACAAGACCACAGCAAAATCAATAAATTCCTGAACGCGAACTTGCATTCTTGTCATTGAGATGGAGTCCAGTGCCCACCTGCATGTACAGCTTGGCGAGGGCGATGAGGGTGTCGCTGTAGTCCGCGGAGGGCTGCCCCTGCTGCTCCGTGTCGGGCGGCGCGTGCAGGACTAGGGCCTCGCGGTAGAAGCGCACGGCGGCGGCGTGGTCACGCGTCGAGGCGGCGTGCAGCGCCATCTGGCGGCACAGGCGTGCGCCCACGGCGCGCTGCTCCAGGACGGCGGCGCTGTTCTCGCCCTCCCGCGCCGCCACCAGCTTGAGCACGCGCGACTGCGTGGCCCGCGCCTCCTGCAGGCAGGCCAGCGCGGCCTGCACGCCGGCCGCCGTCCCCGCACCGCCTCCAGTGCGCTCGCGGACGCGTGCCTGCAGCTCGTGCATCCGCACTCGCACGGCCAGCGCCTCGGCGTCGTTGGGGGATGCCTCCTTCGACGACAGCTCCTGCGTCAGCGTGGCGTCCGCCTTGTCGAGCTGGCCCAGCTTGAGGCACAGCAGCGCCATGTCGAGGCGCAGCTGTGGGTCCTGGTCGCCGCGCAGCGCCTCGCGGTAGTAGTTGAGCGCCTTGCCGTACTGGTGCGTCTGCACCAACGCGCGCCCCGTCTTGCAGGCCAGACCCGGGTTGCGGTTCGGCGGGCTCTTGCGCAGCGCCAACTCGTACGTCTCGATGGCCTTCTCGGGCTCCTGCAACACCCAAGTCGCGGAATGTACCTATACTGTCCATACGTCTCGCACCTCTAATATGTTGGTCTAGCTGGTATGCTTACCTGCACGGCCATGTACGCGTCGCCCAGAAGCACCAGGCTGTGCGGGCTGGGGTCCTCGTCCACCAGCTGGCGGAACACCTCCGTGTAGGCTCGTCGGTCCTTCCGCACACGCAGGTGCACGTGCGCCATTTTGTGGCGGGCCTGGCGAACGACAAGACAGGGCGTCAGCGAGCGGCTGTCATGATCGAGTACGTCAAGACGTCACGTCCCATTTACCTGGAGGTAGTAGGTCTGCGAGGGCCGCACAGAGGCCAGCACGGCGAGCGCGGCCGTCGCGTCGCCGGCGTCGCCCCTCGCCAGCAGCACGTCGGCGTGCGTCATGGCCACGCGGCCCTCCTCGGGCGTGTCCCGGAAGCGCTCCGCCGCGTCGTGCAGGGCGAGCATGGCTTCGGGCCAGCGGCCCTGCTGCTGGTGCAGGCCGGCCAGTTCCAGCAGCACGGTGGCCTGCTCGGAGCGCGACAGCGTGCCGCCCAGCGCGCCCGCGCCGCCACCGCCGCCCTTGCCGCTGCCGGGACGCAGGCCAGACAGCGCCTGGGCCGCCGACAGGCTCTTGAGGGACTCGTCCAGGTCACCGCGCGCGCGCTGCACGAGCGCGGACAGCAGGTGGAACAGAGGCCGTTCGCGCACCGCGAAGTTGTAGCTCACGGCCACCTCGAGGCTCTGAGCTGCGGCGGCAGCGTTGCCCTGCCTGAGGAAATGAACAGAAAATTCAATCACAAGTTTCCCCGAGGTGGAAAGAAAGAGTGATCTAGCAACTAACCGTAGCTGGGCCTGCGCGAGCAACAGGTGCCCGTCGGCCGAAGTGGCGTCCACGTTGTCCAGCACGTGTCGCAGCGTGGCGTGCGCCGCGCGCACGTCGGCCGCCATGAGCTGCGTCCTCGCCAGGGACAGGTGGGCCGGCAGCAGCCCGGGGCAGGCCTCGCGCACCAACTCCAGCACGGCCGAGCACTGCCTGGGGGAGACGCGGGCAGGGCCTCGATGAGCACATTGCCATTTTAAATTTCATTTTAACTGTCACCGTCTTTGGGACTTACTTGAGGGCGGACGGGGTGGGCACGCTGAGCCCCGAGTCGTCGCCCAGGGCCGAGGCCGTGTCGGGGGCGTGGCGCTGGTACTCGCGGGCCACCTGCAGCAGCATGTCGGGGTTGAGGGTGCGCAGGTACGCCGTGCCGAAGGGCTCGCCGTGCAGCAGCTTGAGGTGCGCCTCCACGCCGCGGTCCAGCAGCTTGAGCGCGCGCTCCGAGTCCCCGGCGGACAGCCTGGCCGCCATGAGCAGCACGTTGGCGCTGGGGTTGGCGCCCTGCACTTCCTGCAGGAACTCGACCTGCTGGCGGGCCTGGTCGCGGTCTCCCGGCGCTGCCGCGGTGGCCGCGGTGCCGTCGTCCGCCAGGAGGGTGGCCGTCAGCCCGACCAGCGCACCGACGGAGCTCTCGTCCGCGCGAGTGGCGGCCCGGTAGTGCTTGGCGGCGTCCCGCAGCCTCCCCGCCAGCAGGCACTGCATGCCCAGCTCCTGGGTGCTCGCCGCGCCGCCGGGGTCCGCCCGCGCCGCGCGCTCCGCCAGGCGGTACGTCTCGGCCAGCACCACGGGGTTGCGGCCGCACACGCAGGAGAACAGCTGCAAAGAGCGACGGTGGGGTCAACAACACTGTAACTGTGACTCTGCACGCGACGCAGTGGTACCAGAGGTCCGCACAGCCGGCAGTCATTGCCAAATGACGTACTTGGGCGTTTTCCAGGTAGAGCTGGGTGTTCTTGGGCTCGATCTTCTCCATGGCGTCTCCGAAGCGGCGAATTGCTTGCGCTGCTTCCTCGTAGTCGCCATCGCGACAGAGAAGGACGAGGGCATTGATCTGCAGGGGAAGACGGCTTGTTAGTCCGAGGGGCAAACAACTTCGTCAAAATTTGTACACCGTTATTTCAAATTCACGTTATTTCACGTTATTTCATTGTTATTCCAACGTTATTTCAAGAGTATTTCAACGTTATTTCGCGTTATTTCGTGTTATTTCACGTTATTTCGCGCTATTTCACCGTTATTTCACGCTATTCCACGCTTATTTTGGCGTTATTTCAACGTTATTTCACCGTTATTTCACGTTATTTCACGGAAAATGTACACCTAAATTCGAGTTGTTTGCCCCTTGGTTAGTCCGATCAAACTGTCAAACTGCAACTTTCGCCACTGTCTTTGCACGGCACCTGCAGAGCATCCAAGCTGTTGGTGTCGATGGCCAAGGCCCTGGCCGCGGAGTCCGAGGCCTGCCCCCAGTCTCGCTGTGCTAGCTGGTTCCGCATCTTCTCCATGAGAGGCGGTGTGGCGCTCGGGAAGCGAACTATCATCTGATTGAGGACGGCCATGGCGCCAGCGTGATCCCCCATGTACTCTCTGGCGCGCACTCCACCAAAGGCGGCATCGGTGTGGCCTTTGTTTTGGTCGAGAGCTCTGGAAAAGAAGTCCCCTGCGGCCTTGGCTCGAGTCTCTGGAGGCTTGTCATCTTTCTGAAACACAAAGAAGGAAAATAATCCGGCTGGCCATTGGAGTACAGTTAGGATTAGAAATAACAAGAGTCTTACCGTATCACGTAACAGACTGAGTTCAATCCAGCCTCTCACTGTCAGGCCCCAATACGACTGCGGACTTCCCTTTAGTAATCTGTCAGCGTATTCTTTTGCCCTTTCTGCTCGCCCAGCAAGGCAGAAAAAATAAGCGGCATGATAAAGTGGCATCTCATTCGCTGACCTTCTTTCCTCCTTAAGTCGGGAGTCCAAACTAGATACGGCCTCATGGTCGACTGTCGAGCACAATCTTAAAAAAAAGGGGTGTAAATGCAACTACCAGAAAAAAGGCAACTAGATACAAAATCTGTGACTACTAAGTAAAAACGTACTTGTGAGCGTGTAAGAGTGACACAATTATGCCAAGTGAAATGTCTTTGTCAGAGGAAAGTGAGTCAAGTTCCCTTATGGCCTCTTGCGGTCTGCCACCAAGGGCAAGTGACCATCCATTGTACATCCGAAAGACATTATCTGCAGGATACCTTCTTACACCCTCAAGTGCTAGTGTCTGAGCACTGTGGGTAAGACCCGCTCTTAACAAGTACAGGACACGGGCTTTAACATCCTGTTCTGAATCCATGTTGCTAGATTTATTTATCGACTATCAGTTTACATTCAGAGTATTGTCAGGCTAATGTCTTCTCTAGTTCAGGGGTCAAGTTGTCCTTGTAGTACTTCTGAAGATAATCGCAGGACAGTTTCATTTTCAAATTGTTCTGCAGAACATAATTAAAGGCTTCCTGTAACACAATAACAAACAAGAGTGTTAATAAATCTGCATGTGCAACAACCAGAGTAGGTAGCGAGGAAAAGAAACCTTGGCCAGGAGTGCAGCAACACCTTGTCCACGAAACACTGATGGGACTTCGGTATGATATAAATCAAGAGTATTATTGGTCCTCTGATACTGAATCACAGCACAATCTAGAGCAAAAATTTACATTACAAACGAAAATGAAAAAACAATGAAAACCGCAATAAATGAGGCTGAGATTTGTGCAACTTACCATCGCCCATGCAAACGAAGAATTCTTGCTTGGCGGCACTGTGCTCAACTTTCAAGTCACTTGGTGCATACGCAGAGAAGGCCTTTCCTGCCAGTTTCTGGGTCGGTGCACGGGCCGACCGCAGAACGCGGCCCGTCAAGCTGGATATGTTCTGCTGCATTCGTCTGGGGGAATGGGAAATAGATTTAACACTAGATCCAAGGCCCTAGGTTAACTGCACTAGGATGATACAAAGTGACATGTTGAATAAGAATCCTTACGTCAACATGATATGAAATTGAAAAAAATACTCAGGTGTTTTTGATAAGCAGAAACTGAAAACTGGCGTACCGGTACACTGAAGGTCAGAACAAGTGCATAGATGACACTTTTGGCGGCTTGTTTGTTTGGAATTTGCACAACAGACACTTTTTTCATACTCTTGGTGCTCCTTCAGCAGACGCGCTATGCCAGACAGCTCTGACACGTTTGTTATACTCATGGTGCTCCTGACGGCAGACGCGCTATGCTTACCACCACCACCACACAGTACAGTGCAAAGGGGAGATACGTGCGGGGGAGGGGGAGCGAGGGGTAGCTTCTGCTTGCTCCTGTTCTGTTTGTGAGCTTGTTTGGTTCAGCTCGGACCGTTCGGACCTGGACGCCAAAATTATTTGTTGATGATGGGGCAGTAGCTGGTTCATATCAAGATACTCTGCACTGTTTCTGGAAAGAGCGACCGTAAGTTAAACCGAAATCGAGATTGAAACTAGAAGTGGGTGTCTTGGCTGCGAGAGCAATATTGACGGTGAGATTGCGTCACTGGGAGGGGGAACAATGACAACAAACAAACAAATATTGCCAAGCCAGATAATTTTTTAATTTGCCTCATATCGGGCTACATAATTTGTACGCAAGCGATGGACATTTTGCATGCACGATGTTTGTGAAAGTGTCGGTTTAGAGAGGTTAACGCGGGCTGTCAAGTTGTGGCTCATTGTTCGGTTCTGAGGCAATCGCCGCGAAGGACTTGTAATGAATCTGTTTAGTGGGCTTTGATTTATAATTCACCAGCCATCTCAATCGTTTTGCATTCGGTGGTTCATCGTTCATCCACGAACACTGTGATGCATTTGCCCCCTCTTCTCTAAAAAGTCCATTCCTTTTTTTAAATATGTATCCTACTTCTATGTAGGTTCCTCTGTATCCTTGAACCAGAGTATTGCCAATCTTCCATATGTCCATATATTTTTGGATGTAATTCTGTTGGGGTGCATTATCAATGTTTCATTTTTTAATATTCTTTGAAATTAGCTACTAATCCTACATCTTATCTATATCCCCGTTAAATACGACTTGCCTGATTTGTGAAACTTGACTTATCATAGTGATCTTGTTTATAGTTGAAACTTTGACAGCTGGCTAGGTACAGTTTGAACACAAAGGGAGAGTTTAATTTTAGAAATGTGCTTACGAAACAAGTCTTAAGCTCTGGGGATCTCTGGGTCTTTGCCAGTTGGCAAGGAAGCTGTCAACACAACAAGGTGCTTGGAAAGTCACTTGAAACCCTCATGCGTTTGTTATTTATTTGTGAATATAACATTTTAAATCGTACACCATATTTTCATATTTAACAGCTTTGTTTATAAAACTCTTTTAAACTTATATCATGATTTTTTAAATGTTCAACTATGGTTTTCTTTTTAACTGTGCTTATGATACTTCAAAATAATGGATAAAGTTTTTTTTTTTCCACATGAACAATTTCCGTAATCTTTCCTAGCATGGTAGACTTGTTGCTAAGGCGTTCACATAATGTGGACTTTAGTAATGGTGTGCTGAGTTGAGCCTGATAGCAATCTGTCAGCGCTTTTCCAAATCAACTGAGGTTCACAGTTTGGTTGGATGTGCTTTCCCTTATCTTTCAGATAGTTCATGTGCATGGGAATAGGGTGGATGTCTTTTATCATGAATCATGTTCTCTGTCAGATAGTATAAATTTCTGTGATTAATGCCTTTTTTTTACTCAATATTTTCCAGATAGCAACCATGGATTCCTTTCTTGGGCTGTTTGGAGGAGATGACTGGGTAGATAATGAAGACCATACTAAAGGCTTCTCACAGCTGCCTCCAGAGCCCCAGCTTGGAAATGTGGAATATAAACTTAAGCTTGTGAATCCCTCCAAACAAAGATTTGAACATTTAGTGACTCAGGTAATATTATTATAATTTTAGTACTTGGACACTCTTAAAAGTGCTCATTCAGAGCTGTTTTTGACATTTATGCATTATTTAAACTGTTGCAGTTGAAGTGGAGGTTGAGAGAAGGCCAAGGGGAAGCAATATATGAAATTGGTGTAGAGGACAATGGTGTTCTTGCTGGTTTATCTTCATCTGAAATGACAGCTAGTTTACAAACTTTACGGCAAATGGCCTTATCTCTTGGCGCTACAACAACTATTTTACGTGAACGATGGCTGGATGATACTGATGCTGACACTGATGGAAGTAGCAGTAACGACAGTTTAAATGGTAATACTGTGTCAGATCAACGGAAAGTTGTGGAAGTTTTAGTGAGAAAGGTAAAGGCAGAAGATTGATTTTCTAGGGTAGATGATATTAACTCAAACTTTTTGTTGAATGGTTAGTAATCAATGGATGGGTTTAGGTTCCAGATGATCAGCACAACATTGAAGTCAGAGTCGCAGTGATGGGAAGTGCAGATGCTGGGAAGTCAACTCTATTAGGTGTGCTGACACAGGGACAGCTTGATAATGGCAGAGGGCGATCGAGACTCAATATGTTCAGACACGTGCATGAAGTGCGTTCAGGGAGAACATCATCAATCAGTCATGAAATACTTGGATTTGATGCCCATGGCCAAGTTGTCAACTATAGTGAAATGACAACTGCTGAAGAAATTTGTGAAAACTCAACCAAACTCATCACTTTCATTGACCTTGCTGGGAGGCGAAAATATCTTCGCACTACTGTTCAAGGGCTCACAGGCTACTCGCCTCATCATGCAATGCTTGTTGTCAGTGGCAGTGCTGGAATAGTGGGGATGACTCGTGAGCATTTGGCCTTAGCAGTAGCTTTGGATGTGCCATTTTTTGTTGTAATCACAAAAACAGATCTTGTTTCTCCTGATGATGCAATAAGTAGCTTGGGGTGTGTCTTGAAATCGGCTGGATGTCGTAAGGTAATTGCTAAGAAATCAATAACAGCATGTTTTCTTAATTTTTGCTGTACATTGCAACAATTTGTTTCTAACATGTGCTGGTGTCTTTTCTTTTTCAGGTTCCTTTGATTGTTCAAAACGAAGATGATGTAATGACTGCTGGTTCAAATCAAATGGCTGATAACATTGTTCCCATATTTTGCGTATCCAATGTCACTGGAAATGGGCTTCAGCTGTTGACTCGCTTTTTACATGTCTTACCTCCAGGTGTATCCGTTAAAGAAAAGGATAGATTAGAACAGGTATGTGTGCTTGTTTCATATATTTTCATTGAAGTACTTGAAGTACATTTTTAGTATTTGTTAAAATTTATCATCTTATTTATTTCAGGAACCCTGTGAATTTCAAATTGATGAGACTTTTCGGGTCCCTGAGGTGGGCACTGTCATTGGTGGCCTTCTTACAAAGGGTGTTATTACTGAAGGGACAAAATTGCAAATTGGTGAGCACATTATTATTGTACTGTTGTGTGTTGTTCAAATCTAAATCTTCCTTGAAATATGTCCTTAATACTCTTATCTTGTAACCTACAGGCCCTTTCAATGATGGTAGCTTTAATCCCATAGTTGTGCACTCAATTCATCGAAATAAAGCTCCATGCAGGGTGGTGAGAGCAAGTCAAAGTGCTTCCCTGTCACTCACTCTAGATGTGCCTGGCCTTCGTACAGGAATGGTTCTACTAAGTACTGAAAATGATGAGAAGCCCTCTGGCTGCCTGTTCTTCCAAGTAAGTATTACCGACCATTAGATCCAGTATGATTATAAATCTTACTTTGACACCCTTCTGTTTTAACATTGTTTTATAATTTCAGGCAACTGTATTTGTCTTATTCCATTCCACGGCCATTAAACCAGGTTTTCAAACTACTGTTCACATTGGAAATATACGTCAAACTGCTGTTATGGAAGGAATAATGGCCAATAATGGCATCCATACAAATGAAAATGCTTCTGTTGTCTTTCGGTTTACCCGTCACCCAGAGTATGTTAAAGTGGGTATGCGCCTTCTGTTCAGAGAGGGCTGTACGAAAGGCATTGGAAAAATTACGCAAATTTTCCCATACCTTGCCAGCACTGCCGGCTGAGGCTTGAGGCAGCTCCTTCTTTCAAAATCATTCTGCCAGTATGACACTGGCACTTTGCAATCATGTTTACATCAGTTTCCCATGATATTGTTTCTTATCTTGGGCTGTTGCTCTTAATGAAACAAAAAAGCTTGTCATTCACCAATGGAAACATTAGCCTTGTTTATGTTGGGTCTATTGTGTGGTCTAGCTGTCCTCTATGGTTGAATTGCTGACTTGTTATTACTTCCATGTTTAAATATTTCTGTATTTTGCTATGCTCTCTTCTATGCAAAATTACAAGACCCTTGTCTCATGGGAAAATCGAAGTGCGTTCACGCAAAGGTGGCGTTGCGAGGCGGACGCGACGAAAACCTAAATTAATTTGCAAAAAACACGAATGCTGTACATTTTTGTCGCGTCCGTTACTCGAAGCCACCCAATGTGTCACAAGTGTAAACTCACCTTTTAGAGTTATACCAATTGTGGAGTAAATATTATGGTTTGTGTCTCTTGAGATGTTTGAAATAATCTTTGTATTTACTAACTTAACCCAGTCAATCTTGTCTGATCTTTATTCAATGTAAGTTGTTTTAATTAAAATTGCATCTAGTCTGCTAGCTGCATTTTATAGGCTTGTATTTTTGTTAACTAAAATATCAAGCACTAATTTCAAGTGGCTGTGACTATATTGATCCTTTTCTATAGAAAGAAGAGAGTGTGTAAATATTTTAATACAGGGTTTAACCATTAATTTTTATAATGTCAGTGTTAGTGGTTGGTTTAGTCTCAATCCTTTTTAATTCTGCTTGCTTGATACCAAGTTTCACTAATTAAATTGGAGCCTAGTTTAAGAAGGTTTTTTGGTTTATTTTTGTTTATGCCAGCTTAGGTATACTAATTAGGCTTCAATATTAATTTCTTTGTATTATTAGAATGTTCTCAGTATTCATCAGTTCCAACTGTTTGTGTTTTTGTGGTCTTGTCCATTTCATAAGTGAAGTATGAGGAAAAAGTTTTGTTTGGGTTTGTTTTCCTTTGTGTGGATTGCTGTTTGATTGTTATGAGAAAGATGTCTCCAGATGTCAATTTTTTTAAGGTGACTAATTGCTTAGATTGAAGAGTTCATCATTTTAAATCAGTAATTGTTCCAATTGCTTTCTTCTTGAATCAGAACTGTGCTGACCTCCCTCTTCTTCTATTCCCTTGTATCTGACCTCTTTATTTTATCACTTTAGTAAAGAAGAGGGGTAGGAGCTCTCCTTCCTCCTTCATTCAGGTGGCGTAAATAAAAAATATACTTTTCAGTATAAAAGTAGATAAGATAGGTACTGCATACCATGTACTGAAGTGATAGGGTGTGTGTACTGATTTGTTTAATAACTATTTTTAGCCTTTTTATTTATGTTGTGTCTGTCATGAAACTGCTTCTGTGGTCTTTGTACCTGTGTTATGAATGTGATTTTATCATATCAAGAGTGGGGTTGTGCTGATGATGATTTCATTTTTCTCAAATGTAGATAGTTTTGCTATTGAACTTATTTTATTTTACTTAATTTGACAATGGCTGTATCTTCTTGTTCTTTCTGTTTTTTTTTTTGTTTTTTTTTTTTTGTTTATTTGCTTGTCTCATAATTTTTGTAAGTTCTCTCTCATTTGTCATTACAAGATTATTTTTCCTGCCTGCAGTCTTGGCTATTTGCATCACTATGTGTCATGTTTTTCATACAACTTAAGTTGCACTTTCTACAAAATCTGGAAAGGCTTTAACAGCTGACATTGTTTAATAAAATGCGACACCTTTATATTTCCACGTGTTCATCTTTGAAGGTTTACAAGCTTAATTTCATTGAATAAAAATTGTAATTCTATTCTCAGATGCTTTTGAATTCTTTTCAAATGCCTTTCTATCTCATTTATTCACCAATTACAATTTAATGTTTTGGGGGGCACATTGCAGAGAAGACATTTAAAAGAAAACAAGACTCCAACCAGTAGATGAAAACTATGGCCACGCCTGGGAGTCGAACCTTGCAATTCCTTATCGTGGCGGCCACGTTTACACACATCTTCTGTCAGAGGCTCGACCCACGACCGCTGTGGGTGGACATGGACAGACCGACTGGCTTCCATGCCCAGCGAGCGCCTGGAGGGTAGGCCACCCAACCGGCAGCATGGCGCTGCGGCGCAGACTTCGCTCGGCGAAACGGAAAATAGAGCGACGCCTGGGCGTGTTCAAACCAATGCCTTCTCCTAGGACGTGTCGAGAGGCGTAAGAGGCTAATTGTTACGACCCACAACCGATCCATTGACCTTTCTTTAAGGAGATAGCGCTCCACTTTGTGAGGCGCGAGTGTGTTCGACTCAGAGCTACAAATGGAGCCAGGTGGCCCATGGGGAATGGGAGCACAGATCTGATTGGTGCCTCGTCTCGGCCAGGTTCACCATTAAGGTCCGACAAAAAAGTTTGTAAATGAGTTCTGCCAAATTTTCCTACTCAAAATGGCTAGGGCTGCGGCGTCCGCGGCGCGTCGAGCTGCCAATGGTTTCCCTGCGGTCAAGACGTCCCAGATAAACAGACCCGTCTAGGTCTGGCTTGGGACCTCCGAAATCGCAGCAACATCTCTTGTGGGCCAGAATAAATTGCTCGCACGTGGGAGAGATCGGTTAGAGTCGTTAGGAAAACAAAGTGCCCTTTAAGACGGGTCGGTACGGGCGCCGCGCGCCGGTTACTCATACTGCGCGCGCAGCAAATGAGGCTTTGCTTCTTGCAAGCGGGTGCGTTACGAACGGATTCTCCCTCCCCCTTCCTTTCTGGTGGGGGGGGGGGCACTTTGCACGTGTTCCCAACTAAACTCATGCATGCATGCACCGATTTCCTAAAGGCAAATAATCAGCGTCAACAGGCCAGGGGGGAGGGGGGGGCGCTTTACACTTGTTTTTCAACTCATGCATGCATGCACCGATTTCCTAAATGCAAGGAATCTGCGTCAACAGGCCTGTGGGATGGGATGGCGTCGATCCGAGGCGTGGCAGGCGTGGCAGCGCGTCCGACAACCCGGGAACCCGGAGACAGAGACAGACGAACTGGCAGTGGACCACATGCGCCTCGCCACGGCGTCGTCGACTTGGTGGCGGCGCTGCGCTTGTTTTACGTTTCGCACTGCATCGCTCCGTCCGCGCCGCGGCTCGGCCCGGCCCTGAGACGCTTTTGGCGTTTGGCGCTCCATGCCGATGGCGGACAGTGCTGCCGTCGCTCTGTCTCTCTACCCCCGACGGCACGCCCGCATGAGTGCGAGAGACACGGAGATAGCACACAGCTCAGTTCGGAGTCTGTCCGTTTTGGGCCGGTCGCCGGGGTGCCTGACTATTGTGGGCGTTGCAGCCCCGCGAGCGATGTGCCGATGGCGATGGGCTGATAGCGGTGCCGAGTGGCCACGGGGGCGTCGTGCTGACGCGCTGTCGCGCTGCTCGGCTTGCTGCCGATCCGTTTCTCACCTGCAGTAATCATGGGCGCGAGGGAGCGAGCACTGCGGTCGGCGGCTCGTACGAGAGAGAGGCCCAACTTGCGCCCTAGCCACCCTATCGACGTCAATGGATCGAAATGACGAGATTAGAAGGCGACCCGGGCGACCGAGACAACCGCACCGCAGTCGCGGGAAAATAATGCATTTTCGCATCAGTATCCGGTTGTGTCTGTCTGGGAGTCTGGGGCTGGGCGGCAGACTGATGCTGAACAGTGTTTCGTCATTCTATCTCTCTCGCACCCCTACGCCACAATGGGTGTGAAAGTGACAGAGCGACGACAGCTCTGGTCTCTGGCGCGGCGAACCGGCCACGAGCCACGAGGAGCCCATTGAGTCCGAGTCCGCGGCGGCCGCCAAGACCCGATTAATTTTTAAAGGAGTCAAGGGAACTGCAACCCTGAAGTTGGTCAAAATCTGGGTGAGACGGTTGGCAAAATTCATACCAGGCATGCAAGAATAGAAGAAAATAGGCAGAAAAGAAACGAAAGAAATGGAAGAGAGAAAGAATGGAACTTGATACGCACACGTGATACAGAATGGAGCAATACGCTTCCTGCCCCGGCCTGCGCCACTCCATCCACTCTCGGTTTCTTTCATTGACATCATCTTTCATGCGAGTGGGCGTGGGGTGGCGTGGGCCGGGGCAGCCGAAGGCAGCCGGCCGGACCCGACCGCAGCATGCTAGCATGCCGCAGCAGGACTTTCTTTTGCTGGCCTGCAGCCCCGCACTCGGCAGCGCAGTCCGCGGTCCAGGTGAGGGGGCGGACATTGTCCCGAGGGAGCAGGGGGACCTAGGGGGACCCACGCAAAATCATTTTTGAGGGAAAGAGGTGGGGGAGTAGTCTATCGCGCACCACATTCCATAAAAGCAATAAATATAAGAATGAGGATTTACAAGGAATAAACGCAAAGGCGGCCGGTAGCCGCAGGGGTCCGGCGTCGCCGTCCGGCAGCATAACAGCCCCGCCGCCCTGCAGCAGGCCACGCCGGCCACGCCGGCCACGCAGGCCATTAGACCTGCGTCCATCAATGCCCCGACGGATTTGGGTCACTGTTCCACCTATCTTTTCTTCCTTTGCCGCCAGGCTGCGCCAAAAATCACAGAAATGCGGCGCGCGGAGCGGCGGAGCTCAACCGCCCGCCGGCCGGTCTTCTGGTTCTCTCGTCCAAGTCGCGGGCACCTCTGCCGCCTCGTCAAGCTTCGCCTCGAGCCCGGCGGGTTCAAAGGTAATTTCTTGACGGCGCGGTTTGTGGCGGGATGGCGACGGCGCTGCCCTAGGTCGCCTGCCGCGCCCCCGCGCGTCCATGCGCGCATTGGCCATCCCATGCTGCAGCGTCGTCGCGTCACGCGCCTCCCCGTCGTGCGCCGTTCGCCTTGTTCGGGGCGGATCGTGCCGTGCCGGCCCATGGCGTGCCCATGGCAACGAAGGGCGTGGGCGTCCTCAGTGACTGCACGGGCCTCACTGCAGCCTCAGCGTCTGTCTGCGGCGGCGCTGCGGCGTGCCGGACGCCCCTCGTGACCACGACGCGCCGCCCTCGCCACCCCGCGCCCCGCGCGACGTTCTGCTGGCCGTGACCGTGGGACTCGAGGCGTGCCAGTGGCGTGCCGGTGGCGTGCCCCCCTACTCCCACTCCCCCCCGGTCTCTGCCCGGGCGCGTAACGAACGTGTGGACATCTCCAGTTCCCTCGCCGCGGTGCCGTCCGCCGCCCCGCGCCGCCCCGCGCCGCCCCGCCCCCGGCCGAGGCCACGGCGCGGCCAGCGCGGCCAGCGCGGCGCCCGTGTGTCATTCACGGTGCAGGGGTGCATGGCACGGCGGCACGGCCTGGTGGGGCATGGCGTCGCAGCGCGTGCACACCGGAACACGGTGCGTGCACCAAGCCATCGCGCGCACCAGCGTTCTTCGCGGCGGCCAAGTTTGCGGTGCTGTACCCACTGACGCTGTACCCACACCCCGATGCCTCACCGTGACGAATTTCGTCTCGCGAGTGCCGTTCTGGAATAGCCCACCCCTTTTCCCGCTCCCCCGTTCCTACCGCGCACTCCACACTCCACGTCGCCCGGGGCCCGGGGCGCATCCGCGTGATATAAGCCAGCCGTGAGACAACTCGTGGCGACTCGTGGGACGCGATGACCCTCCCTCCTTTGCGGAACTTTTCCCGGTTGACACTACTACTCTGGACCGTGGGATAACATCTCACCTCGAATTATTTTAGTCTCGAGAGTGACCACGTGTGACCGCGACCTCGGGGAACAACCCGTTCCTACATCCCCATCAGGTGGGAGATCTAGAGAAAAATACTGTAGTAGCGACTTTAGCCGAGCATCGGACGGACCCCTCGTCGCGCTTGATCCGGCCCCTCTGGCCCCTAAGCTCATAACGGCCAGTTTGCGGCTGGGAAAGGGGGGTGGGCGATTTAAAGTTTCAATGGGGTGACCCAAGAGTGAGCACCAGCCACTCCGGAGATCTTGGCGGTGCGGAAGGGAATTTTCACGAAAGAATTGAGGTTGAGGCAACAACGGTGTTTATTCATGACATGTTTCCTAGCTACAAAGCAAAATTTTGCGTTAAAAATTAATTAAGGCTGTATTTATCTGCATCTTTTTCCATACATAAATGTAAATTACAACAGGGTTAATAAGCGGATAAAGTACGATTTTGGTGTTTTCTTATCATGTCAAGCTATCACCTTTATAAAAGTTCATTAAAAAGCGAAAATTTGGAGATTTTCCAAAAGACATCAAAGCTATTCAATTATACAAATATTTACAATAAACTAGCAATCACTCAGGCACACACACACAGTCATAACCCTTACACACACATTCACACACTGACTAAATGGACACCGGGCTTGTGCGCATGGCGCCGCACAAGCAAGGCCACAGCTTGCTTTTATACAAATACATATAAATATATATATAATTTATAAATATCTGAAATTTAAATTATTGGATACAATATGCACATGTTGGCAGCACCTACGATTTGACAGACATTTAAATTAAATAAATAACACGGCATTGTATCCACTGATATCACGAAAAAATCAAAACAATGAGTTACATTACAACGGATATCGTCCTAAAATTCAGTCTTATGCACTAACACTAACACTGGGACGGAGCAGGTCTAGGGTAGTTTCACTACAACAATAACAAATTTATAAGGGTATAACAATACAGTGATGCAAAATGATCATTTCTGACATGCAAAAACGCAACTACCCAGTAAGAAATGCTTTCGGCCGAGTCAACGACGCGTAACAATCGCGGCGACAAGCAAACCTAACAAACAACAACAAAAAACGCCATCGATTCGAGATCGAATCTGCTTCACGAGGCACTGATCCGATTAATCGATGTCGCATTTCCATCTCTGGGCGCAGAAATTGTGAAGGCGAAAATTATGAGGGATGATATTTTGTGCTGATTATAGTAGTAATAATATTAATGTAATACTTTGACACCCGTGACGGGTGGACACGAGAACGATTGTACTAATGGTTCCTTCCCGGTACTCTCGCCCGCGTCGCGCTGCCGCGCTCGTGTAGGGCAGCCTCGACGACGGCGACCTTGGACAGCCTTGGCGCCCGACTGGGCCGCACTTTTGGGGCAGGCTGTACCCGGCAGGGCCCTTTTATCCCGAACCTGTCATGCATCTACCTAAGCAGTTGACGGGTTGGGGCAGCGCGGGGCAGCGCGGGGCCGCCCTACTGCCGTCGCCGTGTCGCCCTGGTGCCGTCGAGCCGGCCTCAGGTCGGCCCGGTCGGCCGGGGCAGCATGGCAGCGTGGAGCCTGCAGCGCCGGGTGCGCCGGGTGCGCCGGCCGGGGCGGGGAGGCACCGCGCTCGCCAGTTTACCTGAAGGTCCCTGGTGAAATATTGCAATGCCAACGAGCGGCGGCGCGAGCTGGACGACGAGTACACTCTAAAGAAAACGCCAAAGCCGAGACGTGGCGGCGACGCGGCCGTGGCACTCCTTGAAAACTGCTGTCTTGTCGATAATCTCCCCTTCCGCCGCGGTGCTGACCGGACCGCTTCACCGGGCAGTGAAAGTCGCGATTGGAAAATGGCTGCGTCGACGACATGCGAGGGCGGGCAGGGCGCGGGCAGGGCGCGGGCAGGGGCGGGCGGGGCGGGGCTGGCAGGACTGCCGCTTCAGCAACGCTGCACTGTGCTGCACTCAGCTCCAACGCGGCTGCCCATCTGCCCGCGGCCCGAGCAGCCCGAGCAGGCAGCCCGGCGCGGAGAAAGAGAAAGGCCTGGCCCGGCCTAGGCGGGGGCGGGCACCGACTCCCTGGGCGCGAACGCGAGCGGGAACGTGTCGGGCGGCAGCGCCACGGACGCCGTGTACGTGACGACGGGGTGCTTGGGGTCCACGGAGACGTTGTAGTGCTGCAGCAGCGAGGCGAGAAGCACGAAGGAGCCGCTCTGCACCAGCCGCTGCCCGATGCACGTCCGCTTGCCCGTGCTGAAGGGGATGAAGTGCGCCGGCTTGACCACCTGCACCACGCCGTCCTTGCCCGTCTGCAGGAAGCGCTCGGGCCGGAACTTGGACGCCTGTTCCCAGTACGCCTCGCCCGTGTTGAGCTCGTGGTTGTTGATGAACACGACCGTGCCTTTGTCCACTTGGTAGCCTGCCAAGCAGAAGGAAACGTCACATGAGAAATCAAAAGTCACATCTCGCGTTTTCGACGGTGTAGCAGTCTGGACGCTGCGCACTGCGCCCTGTAAGCGAGGCTAAGCAGGCTCTGACGGGGGTAGGTACAGTCCTTGCAGGAAGGGGGGCCCCTTTCCTTCCGGATGCACGCGGGGTGCGCGCGGCGCATCCTAATCAGGGTATGGCGGATATGGCACTGCCAGCGTGGCGGCAGTGCGGCGTGGCGGCCGAGGCGCTGGCGCGGTGCATCCGAGCACCAGGATTCGAACGCAGGAGGGCGGGCCTGGCAGGGGCTTGCGACAGTGGAGGGGTCTGGAGGGCGCTGGGGGAGTAGCACTGAAGCTTACCGGCAATGGTGGTGTCCTGCGTGGCGACGTGCGGCACGATGGGCGAGGAAGCGACGCGCAGCGCCTCCAGGATCGCGGCCTCGGTGTAGGGCATGTCGGTGCGGTCGGCCAGGGTGACGGTGCGGGTGCCCCCCGTGACGGAGTCCACCTCGGCCTGGATACGCGACGCCACCTCGGGGTTGGCGGCCTGCAAGAGGGAGAGAGAGGGCAATGAGAAGCCGAAGCGAAAACCAAGCGAAGCCGCAAGGGACGGCGTGAGACACTTACCACCGCGGCCAGGCTGAGCATGGTGAGGTTGCCGACGGCGGAGTGGCCGCCCAGGAAGTCCTCCAGCTCGAAGATGATGTGCTGCCACTCGAGGTGCGGGTCCTCCTGCAGCTGGATGAGCAGGGCGTCGGTGAAGTCGCGCGCCATGTCCATGTCCAGCTCGCCGTCCTCGCCCTCCACCAGGCGGCGCCGGTGCTCGTCCATGATGCGCGTCAGGATGAAGGAGCGGATCTCCATGGCCCAGGAGGACAGCTTGCCCATGTGGCGGCGGTAGCAGGGCGCGAGCCAGGGCAGGAAGTCCACGGCGTATCCCTGCAAGCAGAAGCAGACCGGCGACTCGTTAGTCGCGTCGCACACTTTGCCGGCCAAGCTTCCAAACGTGGACTGCCCGTCTCGTACATACCTGGTTGATTTCCCAGAAGATCTCGTCAAACAGGCGCACGATGTGCACGAAGGCGGTGTCGTCGTAGCTGAAACGCGTGCTGCACATGTAGCCGGAGAAGATGTTGGCACAGGCGGCCTGGATCAGGGGCTTGATGTGCACCGTGGCGGGCTGGCCGGCGCGGGTCGTCTTCATCGAGGTGGCCGTCATGGAGGCGACGCGGTCCAGGAAGTGGTCCACCTCCGTGGCGGCCACGCGGGTCAGGGTGTCGTAGTGCAGGGAGGAGAGTCGGGGCGAGCAGTAGAGCCTGGCCACCTGGCGGCGGGTCTTCTGCAGCTCGGACCAATCGCACAGCGCCAGAGCTGGAACAAGCATTTTATCGTGAAACCAATGCCGATAACTCCACTTGCGCTGGTAATGGGTGGTGGGTGGTGGCAGTGAACGTGGATTTTTCCAGAGCTATCTTATCCTGCAAGGGTGAACGCGCCGATGTGGGCATGTGGGCCATCATTCCCCGAGGCACTCCTGTGCAGCGAGGGTTGCATCACCGGCAGGCCGTCGGCTGGCCGGCCAATCCTCATTCATCGGACTTCCGTCTGGCGGGGACGGCGAAGGCTGCACGCGCGGGCCCACCCCACCCCGCCTCACCGCGCCACCGCCGCTCCAATGCCAAGGACTGTCTGGTCGAGTGTGGTCACGTGACCGGCTAACGGGCTGGGCTAGGCTGTACCGGCGGCCGTATCCAGCGTGTCCCGCTCCGACCCATATATTTCTCATACCAGGACCAGTGCGTTGAACGGCTGGACGAGTCTGCGGACAGGCCCGGCCACTCTCGCGACTAGCTGCCACGCCACGCGCCGCGCTGGCTGGTGCTGCTGGCGCTGGCCTGGCCACGCGTAGCGCGTAGCGCGTGGTCGCGCTTCGGAGCGGAAGTACGGGCCCGCCGCCAGGACCGCCAGGACCGCCAGGACCGCCAAGCTGCCGCCGCGACCCGCGTCCGGGCTCTGGGTCCTGGCCATGGCCGTGACCGTGGCCCTGTCCGTGGCCCTGGCCGTGACCGACGTCTAGCCGGGAGTGCCGGGCTCGGGTTCGAGTACCGCCGCAGCCCAGCTGCACGGACGGAGTGGCGCGGAGCGAAAAAACGAAAAACGGGCAGTCAGTTGCGTCCCCGACGCCGCGTGCGCCGAATGCCGGATCGCGATGGGCTCTCGCTCGCACGTAACGCACGCGCACGGCGCGCTCCGCCAGACCATGTGCCAGGCCATGTGCCAGGCAAGGCCAAGGAAGAACCTCCGGCCATGTCTCCGGCCATGTCTCCGGCCATGCCTCCGGCCATGTCTCCGGCCATGTCTCCGGCCATGCCTCCGGCCATGCCTCCGGCCCCCGCCACGCCCCAGCGCCGCGCGGCCGCGTCCCGGCAAGGTAAAGGGGAGGCTGTCTGCCAACTGGGTTCAAGTTTAGCCGAGTCGTTGACTGCGTGGCGAGACGGGGCTGCAGCCGGCTGGCGGGGGCCCGGCCGCGAGATTGGGACGGGACGGGCGAGCCGCGACCTGGACGACGGATAGGATGACACTCGACACGACTCGCGACTTGGCGGCGGAGACGGATGAAAATGGATCCCCCTTCTCTCTCGCGCTTCGCGCTGCATCCGTCCAGACACGCAGGTGATTCCCCTCGTAACCCCCCTCCCCCCCTCCCGCCGCAGTTCCGCCGGCCACCCACACGACCGCGCTGCGGCCGCGGGTCCAAAGTCGCTGATGCAAACGATGCAAGCCGGCTGAATGTTTTCGGCTGGCGCCGCGGCTGTTTTGGCAATACGCAGCGTGCCGGCCCCGCTACCTGCGGCCCTGCGGCCGTGACGCCGGCGCGTCTCGCTAAACCCTCGCTCCAAGCCGGGCCCGCCGGGCCCCTGGCTCGGACCGCGACTTCCCCCCAAGCCGCTCTTCCCAGGACTTCTAAATCCTCGAGGCAAGAAGGGCTGGCCCTGGCCAGAGGCTCTGGCCACGTGCGTGCTCGCGCTTCCAGCTTCCAGGTACAGTACTACAGTACACTACACTACCCACTACAGTACACTGCACTTGTAACTACTTACAGTTATTCCGGTCGCCGCCGAACAGCTTGTGGTAGCGGAGGAAGTCCGGGCGGCCGCCGAAGTGGGAGCCCTTGGTGATGAGCACCTCCTTAATGAGGTCGTAGTTGTTGACGACGACGCAGGGCGACGAGCCCAGCACCATGCTGAAGATGTCGCCGTACTTCTTGGACAGGGCGGTGAAGGCCAGGAAAGGGTTGGAGTGCTCGCCGAGAAGGTGCAGGTTGCCGATGACGGGCCAGGCCTTGGGGCCCGGCGGCCTCTGCGTATCCTTGCCGTCAGCGGGGTGCCGACCACGGCGACGTCTGTGCTCCACGGCCAGGGCCGCGACCGCCAGCACCACCACCGCACACCACAGCACGCCGGAGATGAACATGTTGCACAGCCTGTCTCTGTCCAGCGTATCACGCACTGGTCCTACACTCGCGACTCGCAGATCCGCACTCGGGCACTGGCAACTCTGCTCGTTCGCTACACAAGTAGACACTCCACTAGCCACTCCGATTCCAAAGCTCACTCCCGGTCTTCGCGCCAGTCCAGCTTGCGATCATCTGACCCGTCTGGCCGCCGGGAGCACCCCTATATCCCCCTCCCCTGCGCGGCGAGCCGTGGCCGGCAGGCCGGCAGGCCGGCAGACCCGGGGGGCCCGGCAGCGGCAGCCCCGCCAGCCCGGCCCGGTGCGGCCCAGAGCCCCTTCCCCCCTCCCCGCCACGCCCCGCCCCGCCTCGACCAATCCTTGCGCGCGACTGCGCGAGGCACACCCCCGCACCACGCGACTCCCCTCTCCCTCCGCGCGTCCCGCATCCCGCCCTAAGTGAACAAGTACCAGCTACCAGTGCTGCCCTCTGGACCCAGACGTCGCAAGGAGGGGACACTGCGGTGCGGCGTGCGGCCGAGCGGAGGAGCGCCCTAAACGCTTTATGAAAGTGGAAGGGGTTGGCGGTGACAGGGCGCGCCACCCTCGCGGAGGCCCCACGCCTCGCCGCCTCGGACCACGCCGTCATCGCGGTTAGGCCCCAGCCCACCCCAGCCCACCCCACGCCAGCCGGGCCGCCACTCCGTTCCGTGAATGTCTCGGCCGGCCCCCGCCCCGCCACGCCCCGCCACGCCCCGCGGACGTCACCGTCGTCACACCGCGGTGACCTGCTGCTCGCCAGCTTCGCCGAGGAAACGGAATCGAGAGTCGCGAATCGGGAATTGAGGCGATCGCATTGATTGGCCGCGGTCTGCCAGCAACCCAACCTGCCATCACGGGCCGCCAAGATGCATCCAGCACCGCGCTCGCGCCCTGGCCATGGCCCTGGCCGGCCTGGCGCCGCACCTCCACGTGACCGCCACCACGAGCAGCCCCGCCCGGCCTGGACCTGGACCCCTGGACTGGCGGTGCGTGGGCCTTGCCTAACGCCCCCGGTGAGGTTTTGGAAGTTACGAGCGCGCGATGTTGGCCATCCTGGCCACGGTCAAGCAGCCAGTGCACAAGGACGCCCGTGGACAGCGGCGTGGCGGATTGCAGGCCGTCTCCTGTCCTGGGCCGCGACGCCACGGACGCCACGCCCCGCCACGCCCTGTCAACGTCAACCCTTACCCCCTCCACGCGGCGGGCCCACGGTGGCCGTGCCGCCGTGCCATACCGGCCACCAGCCCTGCCCCCTCCCCCCCGGGGCTCCCCCGAGCCCGACCGGTAGCTCGTCTTGAAGCGCCTGTCTCTCTTCCTCTCGGAGGGGAGGGGTAGGTCCGAGCGGTAGGGCCGATCCCGAGCTCGCAGCATGGCAGAAGGCGTTGAGGCGGCGAGGCGAGGCCGAGGCGAGGTAGTACATACACCGTGTGCCAAGCCAGCCACCGCCGCCACCCCTCCCCCTCCCCGAGACGCGGCCGGGCTTAGCCACCCGGCATGGCATGCAGTGAACAGTAAGCACGCAGCTCAGCCCCGCACCGCGCCGGACCCGCCCGCACCCCGAGCACAGCCAGGCGACAGCCAGGACCTCAAGGACAGCGCCGACGCCAGGGTCGCCGTCAGCGCCGCCGTCAACGTCGCCACCACCATGCTGCTCCGCGGTAAGTACCTCTCTGCCGGCCTAGCGGCCCCTTCGCGCTTCGCGGCGTGACCCGGTGGGCGTGCATGTGCGGCGTGGGGCCGCGTGGTGGGGCCGCCACTGGGTAGGGGAAGGGGCGCGGGTGGGGGAGGGGTGGGGGCAAGTACAGTCACCTTTCTCCGCGGCATCAACGTCACCGACGCCGTCACCGAAGCGGACTGCTGCACTCGCCGCGCTAGCCGCGCCCCGCGGTCGAGAATGCATCGGCGGTGCGTGGCGGTGTGCTGGCGGAGGTGCCTATGTAGTGGGTTGGGTTATTTTCTGGTGGCGGTCGGCGATGGGACAAAGACGGTATCGGCGGTTGCCCGGCCGCGCTGGGCCGCGCATGATCTATGATCGCGGCGCTGTGGTGCCGCGGTGCCGCGGTGCCCGGGCGTTCCGTTCCGCGCGGTTCCGCGTGCCCAGGTCGGCACAGGGCCCAGAGCGGCAGCCCGGGCCGGCCGGCCGGATGCTCGCGGCGATCGGGGCCATCAGGGCCTCTGCGGGGTGGCCGATGACGCGCGGCCCGCGGTGGCGCTGCGACACTGCGACACCACGCTGCGGTTCCCCATGCGCGATTTCCCGATTTCCGCCCCCCGCGGCGCTGGGCCCGCAGCTCGCGCAGCTCGCGTGCGTGGCCATTCAGTCCGCCGGCCTTGCCCCGCCCTGCCCTGCCCGCCGCAGAGACGATCGGGAGGGCCTCGCTGTCACGCGGTGTGCACTGGCGAACCAGTGGCAAACCAGTGGCAAACCAAACCGCACTGCGGCTGCGGACTGTACTCGACTGCCCGAGTGGTGTCTGGTGGTGTCCGAGTGGCTGTCAAGGGTGGATTACAGTGGGCGAGCACTGGGTCGAGCGCCCGGTCTTCAGAGAGCTCAGTACAGTACGTGCCAAGAGCGAGGGCGTGTACCGCCTCGCGGGCCTGCAGAAGGCTTTACTAAGCCGCTGCACCACCCTTCCTCCGCAGGGTGGCCATGCTGGGCCATGCCGCAGCCCAGTGGCCAGTGTACTGTACCTGTGTACCACTCTCGCTCCCGCGTCCAACTTCCCAGAGGACAGGCGGCTTGCGTCACATTCGCATGACCTAGACTGATTCCGCGCCGCGCCGCGGCCCTGGTCTGGTGGCCCGGTATCGGAGGCGCTAGAAGGCCTGCGGGGGTTGCATCAGAAATAGCCGCGGCGGGTACGAATATACGCCGGCATGGACGTCGGAGCGCATTATCAGCGGAGGAAGGAAGTCAGATTCGGATTCGGTCGGGGGCTTGAACCCGCCACTTGTGGAGAAAGTGGGAAAAACAAAAACGGCTCCCCCCTTTTTTTTGCCATCGCCGTCAAGTACGTTTGGGTGGACCGGGCCGATACCGCAAAACCACGACCACCGGCATAACGTTGCGGTAAAGTGGGCAGGGCGGGCAGGGCGGCCGAGCCGGGCGACAGGTGGTAACCATGACAACGCGCGTCGTTACGTTGCCGCTGCGGTCACTTTGTCGCCAACCCAGTGCAGTGGACACGACCCACAACATGAGCATGAGGCGGCATGCAGTGGCATGCAGTGCCTCGAGTCGTGTCTTCGAATTGGCGGCGTGGCGGCGCTGGCGGCGTGGCGGCGTGCCCCGCGCGTCTTCGCACTTAGTCAGCGCAGTGGATTGGCGCTGCCATGGCTATATTGGCGGCGTGGCGGCGGCGGTGCCACACTGGGAACACGCCGGGGATCGGAAGGAGGAGGAGGAGGAGGTGGCATGCGTGCAATACGACGCGTCAGCCGTCAGCGCATCCACGCCGCGCGCCGGCCGCCTGACTGCTCGACTGCGCCGTGCGCGACATGCGTGGAGTTGCTTGCCGATGGCGCCGATCAGGGCCGTAGCTGCCGGGGGGGGCAGGGGGGGCAATGCCCCCCCAACTTTGGCCAGGGGGGCAAGGGGGGCAATGGGGGCAAGGAATCTGGCCAGGTGCAAGCAATGTAGACACAGAAATGTACGAGAATACCTTTTAAAAAGTGTAAATACCCAAGAACTGCAAATTTCTCAGCTCGCTTCGCTCGCAAATAATTTACATTTACCAGCCTATATATCCCTAAGAACCGCAAATTTTCTCAGCTCTCGGACAAACACTGACCACCCTAGTAAGTCGTAAGAACCGCAGATTTTCTCTCTTCCCGCGCGAGCTCTGTTTGCTCGCAAACAAATTACGCCGTTTACCACTCTAAAAAGTCCTAAGAACCGCAAATTTTCTCAGCTCGCTTCGCTCGCACACGTTTACCACAAAGTAACCCTTAGAACCGCAAATTTTCTGAGCTCGCTTTAATTGCAAACAAATTACGTTTTCCACCCTAAAGCCCTAAGAACCGCAAATTTTCTCAGCTCGCTTCGCTCGCACACGTTAGAACCGCAAATTTTCTGAGCTCGCTTCGCTCGCTAACAATTTACATTTACCACCCTTTTAATACATTCAATCGTGTGTTAAAAATTGAAAAAGCACCTGCGGGACCCCCTGATAGGTAGGCAACCTTCAATGCAGACAAAAATTTGCCCCCCCCTGGCGCGAGGAGGCGGCTACGGCCCTGGCGCCGATCGGACCGCTCAGCAACATTTACGTTTTTCCTGATTGCCTCCAAGTTGGCCACGTTGCAGCACGCGTGCTCTATTCGCGGCCGTCGCCCAGGCGCTAGCTAGGCTCTTGCGGCGCTGGCCGGACGCGGCCGCCACGTCGAATCAGGGGATTTCGGATTGCGGCGCCAAGCAGAGCCAAGCAACCCTATGGCCGTGGGCGCCACGCGCCACGCGCCTTGGGCAGTGGGGTAGCAACAAGCAACACCCCTTCTACCTCCTTTCGGCTGTGACCACGTAGCTGTTGATCCTGTTTGGCTGTCCTCACTAGGGGTGACTCGACACGGGAGGGCTGGTTTCGCAGCACGGCCCTCGCAAACCCCTGTGTATTCATTGCCCAATCGCCCCGGTTTGTCTATTCGCCAGTGACGCTGCGGCCGGTCCGTCTAGACGCGTCCAATCGGAGCGCGCCATTTTCGGGACCCAAACGCCCGCGTATCTTTATTTTGGCGGCAAAGAATTGGAGTTTAGAGACAGTGGAGGTTGGCTGAGCGCCCCGTCGATGGGTGTCCCCATCATGGGAGAGTGTCTGTGTTGCGAGCACGTGTTGATGTTTTTGGTGCGCTTGTCCTGACGATTACAACGCCGCCCTGCGCCGCGCAGTGCCAGTGGTAGTCAAGAAGGTGCCGGCGGCGGCGCGGCGGCGACGCGTCGGAGGCGAAAACAAAAAGCAAGACAAAAGTGTTGCTGTTTGGACGGGACGCTTGGGGGCTGTTCTACACCATGTCTACACTTCTACAGCTCTGTCGCTACCGCTGCTACACTGCGCGGGTCCCTCTGTAATGACCGGCGCCTTGACTTGTTGGCGACAGGCAATAAGTCGCTGTCTTGTCAACACGGACATGACATGCCGGCCGGGCAGTCGGTCGCCCCCGCTGACGCCG